GGTTATACATAATAATGATCCTTAAGTCACTGGACTTCCAACTTTGATTGGACTTCCGAAATAGCTGAGACGGACATGTATACCATAAATGTTTAGCACCGTCAGTAAGGACTTAAATAAGTACTACTTATATGAATAATATTATTATATTTTAGCATCTTTTGCCTTGCGGAAACTTTTTATCTGCACTAAAATTGTCAGTAGGCTGCGTGAAATTGGGCTCGCTATCATTGCAGCGGTAAGTCCCATCTTTGAGGACTGGCTTGAGAGACGCTACGGTGTCCTCATCTACCGCCTGTACCGCCTACGCAGGTGCTTAGCGGTCACGGAAGTTTCGATAAGTTCCTGTTTCGGATTGGACGGGAGGAAACACCCGGGTGACATCACTGCGAGGGCCACACGGAGGACACAGTGGAACATACAGTAGCGGTTTGTTCTACGAGGGCTGAGCACCGCCGTGTCCTTAGTGAAATGTGAAAAAAACACGATCGACACGACCGATACGATAAACACGATCAACACGACAAAGACGATCGACACGACAGACACGACAGATACGACCGACACGACAGATACGACCGATACGACCGACACGACAAATACGACCGATACGACCGACACTACAAACACGACCAAAACGACAGATACGAATAATACGACCGACACTACATCTTTGAGGACTGGCTTGAGAGACGTAATTTTAATTTCAACACAGATCACAGAATGATAAGATGCAAACTCTACGTAAAACTGAAACATAAAAGACCAAATATAAAACCTATCAACTATACCAGAAACCTACCGTTGGTGTCTGGAGAAAGTGCAATATCTTGGGAAAATAAATTCATGGAAGCATTATGTACAAGAATAGAAATACAAGAACAATATAACCAATTCGAAACTGTTATGAAGAACCTATTGCAACTCTTGCCGGAGAAAGAAAAACATAAAAAAGACTATATAAGTCAAGAAACAAAACTCTTATTGGAACAAAGAAAAATATTGTATACAGAGAAACGCACAAGAGAAATAACGTCCAGAATCACTGAAATTAGCAAGAAAATTAATAGAAACATATCGCGCGAGAAGAAGAAATATAGGCAAAACACGTTAGAAAATCTAATACAACGAACTGGGGCTATGCGTAAGACATTCAAAGAACTGAGTGATAGGACGGAGTGGGCTACGAACCTGAAAAACAAACGTGGTAATATACTTGCAAGACGTCCAGATATAATTAACGAAGCAACACGTTTCTACAAAGAACTGTACACCGATGACCAGCAAAGTAATATTAACAACCTGAACTTACAAAAAGATGTCAATACACACAAGAAAGCTGGAATTTCTACCTTACTCGATACGGAAAAATTTCTCACATCTGAAATTGAATACGCAATAATAACGCAAAAGAACGACAAGACTCCTGGTAGTGATAATATCGCGAACGAGGTCCTGAAATCTCTATGCATACCGTTGTTGAAACCTTTACAATTGCTGTTCAATGGAATACTTAGAGAAGGAAAAACACCCGAGCAATGGTCCAAGTCTACAATCACACTGCTTCACAAAAAGGGAGACCGGAGTGACCTCGGAAATTATAGACCTATCAGCCTCATGACAAACCTGTACAAAGTATTCTCTAAGGTCATTTTGAATAGAGTCACTAAAATCCTGGATGAAAATCAGCCACGCGAACAGGCAGGGTTTCGTAAGGGGTATTCTACGACGGATCATATACAGGTGGTTACACAAGTAATAGAGAAAGCTAACGAGTACGGGAAAACTATTTATATGTGCTTTATCGATTACCAGAAAGCTTTTGACTCTCTGCACCATGATGCAATCTGGTCAGCAATTTCACATCAGGGAATGGAAATAAAATACATTGAACTAATTAAAAGCGTTTACTCTAAATGTCGGGCTAAAGTAAAACTCGAGAGGGAAGGAGTAGAGTTTCCCGTACAAAAAGGAGTTCGACAGGGTGACCCATTATCGCCGAAATTATTTTCGGCCGCACTTGAGTCGATTTTTAGAAACCTAGAGTGGGATAAGAAAGGCATAAAAGTGAATGGAGAATTTCTCAGTCACCTGCGCTTCGCTGACGATATTGTAATATTTGCTGAGACATCAACCGAATTAGAATATTTGATAACCGAATTGGCAAGAGAAAGTAGAAAGGCTGGTCTGTCGTTGAACGCTTCTAAAACAAAAATAATAACGAATGGAGTTATTCAGGATGTTGTAATAGAGAATATGAAAATCGAATACGTCAGTGAATATGTGTATCTGGGACAACTGGTGTCATTCGAAAACTATACAGAAAAGGAAATACAAAGAAGAATAGGTTTAGCATGGAAAAAGTACTGGGGTCTAAAGGAAATAATGAAGAATAGAGAAGTTAGTTTACACATAAAAAAGAAAGTTTACGAAACAGCGATATTGCCCTGCCTTATATACGGATGCCAAACATGGTCATTGAGGAAAGAAGACGAGGAAAAAATTGCCATATGTCAAAGAAAAATGGAAAGGAGCATGTTGGGCATAAAAAGGTCAGATAAAATAAAAAACGAATTAATACGAGGGAAAACAAAGCTAATGGATGTAAACCAAAGAATAAGATTGCTGAAGTGGAACTGGGCAGGACATCTGTGCAGATTAGAGTGTACGAGATGGACAAAGCGGGTGACGGAATGGATTCCATTAGATGGTAAAAGAAAGCAAGGGAGGCAAAGAAAGAGATGGCGAGATATTTTTACCCAACGTTGTGGACCAGACTGGATGCACAAAGCGCGCAATAGAAAAGAGTGGAGTGATTTAGGGGAGGCCTACGCCGTAGAGGCGACCGCTATGAATAGTGAAGATAAACCAGAGTAGAAGAAACAGGTTAAAAGGAACGGATTTACATAAACAGCTTAAGAGAAAGAACATAACACTATTAACATTTGTTTACTTTGAAATGATTTAAATCTAAATAAGTTTTGTCTAAAACATTGTAATTAGTGGAATAAAGGGCATTTTTATTTTTATTTTATTTATTTTATTTTATATTGAGAGACGCTACGGTGTCCTCACCTACCGCCTGTACCGCCTACGCAGGTGCTTACCGAACACAGAAGTTTCGATAAGTTCCTGTTTCGGATTGGACGGGAGGAAACACCCGGGTAACATCACTGCGAGGGCCACACGGAGGACACAGTGGAACATACAGTAGCGGTGTGTTCTACGAGGGCTGAGCACCGCCGTGTCCTTAGTGAAATGTGAAAAAAACACGATCGACACGACCGATACGATAAACACGATCAACACGACACACACAAGAAAGACGATCGACACGACAAACACGATCGATACGACAAATACGACCGATACGACAAACACGACTAATACGACCGACACAACAAATACGATGGATACGACTGACACGACGAATACGACCGATACGACCGACACGACAAATACGACCGATTCGACCGACACGACAAACGCGACAAACCCGACCGACACGACAAATACGAACGACACGACCAAAACGACCGATACGACAAATACGAACGACACGACAAATACGATCGATACGACAAACACGACTAATACGACCGATACGACAAATACGAACGACACGACAAATACGACCGACACGACTAATACGACCGACACGACAAATACGATGGATACGACTGACACGACGAATACGACCGACACGACAAATACGACCGATACGACCGACACGACAAACGCGACAAACACGACCGACATGACAAATACGAACGACACGACAAATACGAACGACACGACAAATACGACCGATACGACAAATACGAACGACACGACAAATACGACCGATGTGATCGACACGAGAAACTCGACAAACACGACCGACACGACAAATACGACCAAAACAACAAACACGATCAACACGACAGACATGACAAACACGACAGACACGACAAACACGACCGACACGACAAACACGACAAATACGGTTTACACAAAACAAAGTCTAAATCTTAATTCTAGCTAACCGCAGCGCAATAGTGAAAACTACATTCAGTTAAGTTAAGCCGTTTTTGAGATTAGCCTGAACAAACGTACAGACATACAGACTAACAGACAAGAATTCTAAAAATTATTGTTTTGGGTTCTATCGCGTATATATGAAGTTCCCCTGATAAAGTTTTTCTTATTTATATTCCATGTATATACGGGACGTCAAGTCATTTTAAAAAACCGTTCATATTAATCTGGTAACTAACTCGTTTATAATATCACAGATCCCCGAGCTTATGAAATATTAACAATATTTATTAACATAATCCAATTTCATGGTATCTTGTTTGTATCTATTAATATGATTTCGCCCTTGCCCGAGTTTCCACTACATCGGTGGTGTATGAATTCGTTAGGAACCCATGAGCGGTTCACGGACCTCGCTTACGGTCCAACAAACACTTTCAAAGTCTCCCTTAGCCCTCACCCTGTATCATAGCTAGGTTATATTTATTGTGTGCTAAAATCTTCACGAGAACCCTTCCAATTAGATAACATTAAGTCACATTTGATGAGGTGATATTTTCACTTCAATTTCTTGTGCAGATTACACTATGTAGATGGTATTGCACACATTGTTACGTTTCCGATAAAGGAATGAGCATAATCAATATTATATCAACAACATCTAAATGTGTTCAGTAAATGCAACCTAAAATAAAAATGTTCAGATTTCAACTAAGAAGAATTGAGACCCAATTCATTTTCTTTGAGAAAACTTGTGTACGCATTTATTATTTTCCTTACTTTACTCTTTGCTCATGTATATCTTTGACTTTACTCCAAAGAGTATAAGTAAGTTTATGGGAACTTTTCTCTTTGATTAGTTCTGCTATTATGATTTGTGTCAGATTTTATCAATATTATTAATTTTCTATTGTAATGTATTTGTTTGTATAAATAGATTTATTTTAGAAGTTTTATCTCATAATTTTTAATAAGTTAGCAGAATGTCGAGAGCCATGGATGATGATGACGATGACGTATTCGGAGGTATTTATGAAAATGGACACTGGATTTGGGATGATAAAGTGAATGCACTTGTGTTCAAAAGGTATCTACAGGGTATCGCATACAGTACTACTTAAGTACAAATTTGTTTTTATATGTGCAGAGCATAGGTTAGAGCTTCGGTACACAAAATATTTTGAACATACCTCTCTGATTTCTTAAAATCGTATGTGGTATTGCATACCAGTTTTTAAAGTTCTGATTAAAAAAAATGTAGTCAGCTAGTCAGTTTCCTACAGGAAAAGAATTCTGTTGTCCTTGTGTTGACGTCGTGAATCATTATAGTATTGACTATCTAATAAATACCTGATGCAATAATAATGTTATATTGTATAACTTCTCCTTCACATTAAAGATAAAATACTGTTTTACATGTTTCTCTACTATTCCAGTGACTTGCCCGAGGAACCACCAGACGCTCCACAATTGGCAACTGCTATCCTTGGCTCAGTGGAGTTCAGGGAAGATATCGACATTAATGAACAAGTACCTATGTTGAGCTATTAAACTATGTGGTGACTGTAGAATAGACAGTACATTAGTCACCAACCCTTCTCTTCGCATGGGTGCCGTAAGAGTCCACAAAGGGACACACATGACGCCGTATCTACGCTTAGGTGGCACGTCTTGCGTCTGCGATGAGTAGGAACAATAATCATGCATTTACCCCCGCGCTAGCGTGGACACGGCATAAAAGTGATCAAGCTGCAACGCTCTCTGATAAACTTGAACCTTCTAAAGTGTGATTTCCAACCCACTCGCAAATCGTATCGCAGTAAACACCTTTTATGTGAAGGAGACTCACTGCTGGACAGCAGCGATCGGTGACGGACTATTGATGTATGATTGAATATCCAAAATAAATACAATTATAATTTCAGAATCGATTCAGAAAACGTATGCAGCGGAAGCCCGAACCCAACGATGTAGTTACTCTTCAGGTTTTATTCATATTTAATTCCTCCTAACCCTAATATTTCCAATCTATATAAATAAAAATGAATTGCTGTTCGTTAGTCTCGCTAAAACTAGAGAATAGCTGAACCGATTTGGCTAATTTTGGTCTTAAAATGATCGTGGAAGTCCAGGAAAGGTTTAAAAGGTGAGAAAAAACATTTATAGGCGGTACGAAGTTTGCCGGGCCAGCTAGTTATTAATAAAATATAACAGATCAATTAATATATTCCATAAAGACGATTAAAATATATAAATGATATTTGTTTACCATTACATAGTGCCTTGTGTAATGCAACGAAATATTGCAATGTAATGAAGACTAGCAAATGTAGCTATAGCTACAGACAAGTGGCGTAGCGTGCCTTGGCGGGGCTCTGTAATTATGAAGGGTAAAGATTTCTCACAGGAGAAAAAATACTAATATACTAATAATTTGTGAGAATACTGGAAAACTTTCTTTTCTTTCGGCTCACGCGAACATTGGAACGTATGCTTTACGCGGGAGCCGGGAACTGATTACTGAAATAAAATAAAAATTGGCATGTTTTTATTAAGTTTGACTTTGATACGGCAGACACAATACTAGCTACAGATAATTGATTACAAATATTAATACCCTGTTTTTTTATAGGATATAAAAGATGTAGTCCTGTTCACTGCTCCAATCAAAATATTAAAACCATATTTGATAAACCTATTGCACATGACGGGTACCGAGCGAATACTTCGAGCTCTCATTTTCTTGTGTCAATACCATTTGCAGGTACAATAGATAACTTATTTATTATTTTTGCTTTTTTTCGTAATATTGTAAACATAAATTATAATAAAATGTATGTCATGAGTAAAATACAATTAACTTAAAATTTATATTTATAATAAGTTGTTTGTTTGGATCAAATTTAGATTTTGGAACGTTACTAACTTCCCTTCCGGACGACAGGTTGATCTGATATTTGATACATACTTTTAATCTTGATGACCATATAATATAATCTACTTTTTCTATCACTAATAAAACTACTTTTTATGTAATACTTGTTCTATCCAGTAATAAGCTAGTTAAATAACAATGAAGCATATAAATATTTAGCTTTCCCTAATCGAAATAGGGTGTAATCAATGATTACAATTTATTAATTTTATCTTTAAAATACAGACTTCGGAAACAATGAACAATCGTACGATTGAACTCTTATCAAGAATTCGAACGGACAGAAGCGAAATAGTAGAAATGCGTTACATGGAAAATTTAGAGGACCTACGCTTACTTGTAGCTAAAGAATATTCGAACATGATAAATGGTACAGTTACTGCTATTTTACTATGAGGAGATAAGGCTCGGGATTTCGAGGGAATCGGTTGTAGTTAATATGAAAATGTATTCTTTCATGGCTGTGATTTAGTCATAGTAAAACTATGCAATATTTCAAAAATAATAACCCAAAAATTTGTTTCTCAGGTTCTGGCGAATTCGGAAAATTCCATCACATGGGCCCATCTAAAAAGATGCGATCCATGAATAGACGAGAGAGCTTCTTGTTTGAGACCTTCCTACGACTCAGCATACAGATCATTTGGATAGCACTGGGCAGAAAATCGTTCAACGAAATTGGTAAGCATCGGTAGCAATTTCTTCCGATACCAATATCTTAGTAACTTGAAGAAATCAAATTTTTACAGCCAAAGCTCCGATAGTTTTTATTGCAACTGTCACCTTGCCAGAATTTACATTCCAACTTACAAAACACCATCAATATTTTATTCCGCGTCCAACAAACAAAATTCCCTATAAAAACTTCTTTACAAATGTTCATATTTCAGAATTGGAAGTCCATAGAATATTTAAGTCGAATTTATTCAATTCGGCGGAACATAAACTGACTGCTGAGAATAAAAAAGCCGAGATCACCCCTCATGAACGCAAAGTGTTGATGGGTCACTGTATACGTAAGAAGCATAAAGTGGACATGCTGTCACCTCTGATGAATGAGGTGCACTGTAGCAAGCGGAATATTGACCACCGTATGTTCGGCCTTGGTATTGTCAAGTATCCTCGGTAAGAGAAAAACTGGAAAAAGTTACATCCATTTGCATGCCATATCTGTCTCAAATTGTGACTACGCCACAGTACAATACAATTTGACTATATGATTAGCAAAAATGGAAGTCTGTCGTAGCTCTCAGATTTATCTGTCCCTTTACCATTAGCACTAACCAGAGTAGTCTGGTATCATACATTACATACTACTAATGTCATACAACTTTCTTTATTCCATGACATTTTAATTTGGTTTTGTTTTACATTTTTATTCACATTTTACGTGGCATTATACATCCTCTCACTGTGTCCTCATTAGTACCTAAGACTTGGAAATCTTGGGCCAATCCTAACCAATTCTATAATAATAAAACGTTTAGTTTAAGTTCTCGCCTGACTTACATGGAATGTGCTTTATCACTGCCGGAAAACTTGTTGCAACCCAGCCAAATCTCATTGGGGATACTAGGGTTGCCAAGATCACGGTTCGATATTTTATTGAGAGAACTGTGTGGAGAAGCTGAATCCAGCAGTGGCAACCTTAATAAGTGCGTATTTATATACAAAGTATATATATAATATAATAATTCTATTTATATTTTATTTATTTAGTTATTTGTTTTCATAAAGTTGCAATATACTAAAAAACTACATAGAACATTAGTTAGTGTAGAAATTAGAAAATTGAACCCTAGTTTATTGACTAAATAGTATGTATATGATAGAACCTTAGTTCATAGATAGACCTTTATATTATTGTCTATGATTCCGGTTACGTGTTTTCGAGAGTTTTTGTTTTATGTATTGGTCTGAATAAAACTACATTTCTATAGTTAAAACTGTTTATCCTTATTAAAATTAACAGTTAGTTTAATTAATTAATTACAAAATTATTTCTTATTTATTATAAATAATATTAGGTATTTCTAACATCGTTTGCTTAGCTTTTTATATGTGCAATATTGAATGGTGAAGTATTTTTACGAACAATGTTTTAACTATTATTAAAATATATTTTAGATCGAGTTCTAGAAGTACAAAAAGTGCAACTTCTCGAAAGAAATCAACTCTGGAGCAGGTGCCAATGTACAGCAGCATTGAGTTACCTCCTAGGGGCGCTGATGAGTAAGTGCTAAATAATGTTAGTTGTATCAACGTCACACCTTTCTTATTCCCCGAAGGGTACATTATGCAACACCTACTTTCATCAGTAATGTTATGAATCTCGTGTGATAAGGGGCACGTCTTTTAGCCGGACACAATATCAAACCATTTTTATGATAACGCGATGGAAATCCTCTTTGATTTCTTACGCTGTGGGTACGACGAGGGGGTGCGGGCGTACCGACCTTACGTACGGTGCATCGCGTTCCGCGCGCACCTCAAAGAGCCATCAGACCACCATAGATGGGACCCAGTAGGGCTGATGCCCGATACGGAGCCGCGGAAGCTCTAACGGGTTGTCGGGGATCCATCTCGAAGAGCAGGAGTAGGAACTGGGTGGTTTTTATTCAGTAAGAGTCTGACACTCCCTCTCGCCAACCCAAGGCGGGAGAAGTCATTGGATGATTTGCCCCCTTAAAAAAAGGGTGTGCCGGCCTCTTATCGGCTAAAACCACCACGGTGTTCTTCCTCTACCTGTGACCGTGACCCTGGATGCCATTCCGGATTCATCGCACACACAATATCAGACCATGTGCTATCCAGACAGCAATGGTTATCGCATGAGATTTACGATGACGAATCGCAGGTTCGATCCCAGCATTGAATCTGTTCTTTTGCCGCGGAGAACCTAACGGGTTACCGGGGCTCCGTATGGAAGTGCAGGAGTAGGAACGGGGTGGTTATTCGTCAGTAAGAGTCTGACACTCCCTCCCCCCTCGCCCAGGCGGGAGAACTCATTCGATGATTTTCCCCCTTAAAAAATAGAAAACCTGAGAACCAACGACAAAAGACCACTGAGTCGTCAGAATTATGTGTGTTTTTTCTCGTGTGTTAAAATTATTGTTTGTTAAAGATACTGCAGGAACAAAGTCGTAAGTAACGTTTAGTACACATCGAACAATTGACATCATTTAAAGTAACAACGAGACAGTTCTGGCCTCAATCGTTTCATACTAATGTGTCGGCGCATTCCATATGCATGTACATTTCTGATTTCAAAATAATTTGTTAAGTAGGTACTGCTTTTAAGTGTCTGAAAATGTTACGAAAGGAATTCAATTGTAAATCATTTGTATTCTTGTCATTGGATTTCCAAATAATAAAAATGATGACTAATTAGTATGATAATGCCTAACTCCACATGAAATGAGTTTCATTAAAAATGTCTAACTCCACATGAGATGATTATAGAGGTAATGTTGACCAAACAAATGACTGTGCATTCTTATTTTGTTTTCCATCACAATGTTGGTTAATTGGTTTGGAAATTGCAGTTCGGAAGATTCAAATTAGCTAGAGAGTGCTGTTGCTGTTATTATTATTAGACACTAGCTACTTCCGCGCGGTTTCACACGCTCTGCTCAGCTCCTATTAGTCGTAGAGTGATGTTTTATAGCCTACTAGCGACCCGCCCCGGCTTCGCACGGGTGCAATATGCATGTACATATTATACATATAAACAAAGTAAATTCCTTAAGAATCACTCCATCTATTAAAAAAAACCGCATCAAAATCCGTTGCGTAGTTTTAAAGATCTAAGCATACATACGGACATACAGCGAAAGCGACTTTGTTTTATACTATGTATTGATATAGCCTTCCTCGATAAATGCGCTATCCAACACAAAAAGAATTATTGAAATCAGATATTGTAGTTTCAGATATTAGCGCGTTCAAACAAACAAACTCTTCCGCTCTAGATAATAAGTATAAGAGTATAAGATGAACACAACTACATGACTGCCTCGTCGGCCGAGCGGTAGCAAGTGCGACTTCGGCTTCGAATTCCGAGTCGGGCAAAGAATTACTGGGTTTTAAAAAAATCTCAGTAGTAGCACGCAGACTGGAATTGTGCCCGGTGTATGGCAATAGGCTCATCCCTCATTACATGGGACTCATAACATAGTGAAAAGTGGGTGTTACAGTGTACAGTGACATTAAGTGCTATAATGTGCACCTCTGCCTACCCCTTCGGGGATATAAGGCGTGACGTTATGATGTTATATGTTACAACTATATGATAAATATAAATGCTTTCTGCAATCGCCTCTTTGCTGCAAAAATGCCCCTATTTTAATAAAAAGTCATTAAGTTAGGAAAATTTTGCTTTGGAAACGAGTAAAACGTCGTTAACACCTATCCGGGACGCTCGTAACACGTACGGTGTCGAACCACACTACAAGTTCATTTAGATTGCACGGCTACAAAAAACCAGTTTATCATGATTACGCTTTGTATAATCTCTCCATACATTCAACGGCCAGCTTATACTGGTTCTGCATAGCTTGATGTGTGTGTGCCGTATTCGTAGGCACCTATGTCAAAGCGAATTTGCTTGTTAGAACAAACTTCAAAATACCGAGAATCCAGTCCAACTACGACAAAGGAACTCTCACTCTATGATGTCTTAGTGTTAGTACAAAATTTTTCTTTTTGATGGCGTTGGCTTCGTTTTCAATTAGAATCATTGGAATGGTTCTGTTAAAACTGTTATTTTCGGTATTGTTTATATTACAAGCCATTTGGCAATGGTACATAAGTATATATTGCACAGTACGAATTTTACTTTCAGAGGCAGTACAACATAATTTGAATATTTTTCAGTTTGATGTCAAAACTGCATTCTTATATGGTGATGTCAAAGAAGACATTTATATGACACCACCTGAAGGTTTGGATACTGATTCTAATATGGTATGTAAACTCAAACGTTCTCTTTATGGTCTTAAACAAGCACCACGGTGTTGGAATCAAAAGTTTGACACCGCACTGAAGAAATTTGGTTTCAACAATAGTCATGCAGATAGGTGTTTGTACATTGGAAATGTAAACAACAATAAAGTCTATTTGTTATTATATGTTGACGATGGGCTAGTATTTTCAAAGTCAAAAGATGCATTAAATTCAGTAATGCATGAATTGAAGCATAACTTTGAAATAAAGCAGTGTGATCCAAAGAATTTTGTTGGATTACAAATTGAAAAATCTGAAGGTTTTATCTTTATTCACCAGTCAAAATATATTGAAAGACTATTGTATAAATTTAACATGCAAGATGCTAACTGCAATAATATTCCAGTAGATCCACATACTACACTGGAGAAGAGTACCGAGTCTGTGGATAAGAATATTCCGTACCGAGAGGCAGTTGGATCACTGATGCATTTGGCTGTGGTAAGCAGACCTGACATCATGTATGGAGTTAGTCTGGTGAGTCGATATCTCAATTGTTTTGATCACACTCATTGGAATGTTGTCAAGAAGATAATGAAATATTTAAAGGAAACCAAAGACTATGGTCTGTGTTATTCATCATCTCAGAAAAATGAAATTGAAGCTTTCAGTGATGCAGATTATGCTAAAGACACTACCACTAGAAAGTCATTAACTGGGTATGTGTTCATTAAAAATGGAGCTGCCATAACATGGGCAACACAACTTCAGCACAGTGTTGCTTTATCCACAACAGAAGCGGAATTTATGGCTGCTTGTTCTGCGACAAAAGAAGCTTTGTGGGTAAAAAGAATGTTACTAGATATTGGTGAATTTAACCAGGATTCTATATGTTTAAATATTGATAATCAAAGTGCAATCTGTTTAATTAAAAATGTAGACTATCACAAACGTTGTAAGCACATTGATGTGAAGTATAATTTCATTAAAGAAATGTATAATGAAAAACAAATAGATTTAAAATATGTTTGTACTAAGGAACAATATGCTGACATCTTTACTAAGGCTCTGCCTAGAGAGAAATATCAATATCTTAGGAATAAAATTGGTGTTTTGAATCTCAAGGGAAAGGGTTCAAATTTGGTGAGAGTGTAGAAATTAGAAAATTGAACCCTAGTTTATTGACTAAATAGTATGTATATGATAGAACCTTAGTTCATAGATAGACCTTTATATTATTGTCTATGATTCCGGTTACGTGTTTTCGAGAGTTTTTGTTTTATGTATTGGTCTGAATAAAACTACATTTCTATAGTTAAAACTGTTTATCCTTATTAAAATTAACAGTTAGTTTAATTAATTAATTACAAAATTATTTCTTATTTATTATAAATAATATTAGGTATTTCTAACATCGTTTGCTTAGCTTTTTATATGTGCAATATTGAATGGTGAAGTATTTTTACGAACAATGTTTTAACTATTATTAAAATATATTTTAGATCGAGTTCTAGAAGTACAAAAAGTGCAACTTCTCGAAAGAAATCAACTCTGGAGCAGGTGCCAATGTACAGCAGCATTGAGTTACCTCCTAGGGGCGCTGATGAGTAAGTGCTAAATAATGTTAGTTGTATCAACGTCACACCTTTCTTATTCCCCGAAGGGTACATTATGCAACACCTACTTTCATCAGTAATGTTATGAATCTCGTGTGATAAGGGGCACGTCTTTTAGCCGGACACAATATCAAACCATTTTTATGATAACGCGATGGAAATCCTCTTTGATTTCTTACGCTGTGGGTACGACGAGGGGGTGCGGGCGTACCGACCTTACGTACGGTGCATCGCGTTCCGCGCGCACCTCAAAGAGCCATCAGACCACCATAGATGGGACCCAGTAGGGCTGATGCCCGATACGGAGCCGCGGAAGCTCTAACGGGTTGTCGGGGATCCATCTCGAAGAGCAGGAGTAGGAACTGGGTGGTTTTTATTCAGTAAGAGTCTGACACTCCCTCTCGCCAACCCAAGGCGGGAGAAGTCATTGGATGATTTGCCCCCTTAAAAAAAGGGTGTGCCGGCCTCTTATCGGCTAAAACCACCACGGTGTTCTTCCTCTACCTGTGACCGTGACCCTGGATGCCATTCCGGATTCATCGCACACACAATATCAGACCATGTGCTATCCAGACAGCAATGGTTATCGCATGAGATTTACGATGACGAATCGCAGGTTCGATCCCAGCATTGAATCTGTTCTTTTGCCGCGGAGAACCTAACGGGTTACCGGGGCTCCGTATGGAAGTGCAGGAGTAGGAACGGGGTGGTTATTCGTCAGTAAGAGTCTGACACTCCCTCCCCCCTCGCCCAGGCGGGAGAACTCATTCGATGATTTTCCCCCTTAAAAAATAGAAAACCTGAGAACCAACGACAAAAGACCACTGAGTCGTCAGAATTATGTGTGTTTTTTCTCGTGTGTTAAAATTATTGTTTGTTAAAGATACTGCAGGAACAAAGTCGTAAGTAACGTTTAGTACACATCGAACAATTGACATCATTTAAAGTAACAACGAGACAGTTCTGGCCTCAATCGTTTCATACTAATGTGTCGGCGCATTCCATATGCATGTACATTTCTGATTTCAAAATAATTTGTTAAGTAGGTACTGCTTTTAAGTGTCTGAAAATGTTACGAAAGGAATTCAATTGTAAATCATTTGTATTCTTGTCATTGGATTTCCAAATAATAAAAATGATGACTAATTAGTATGATAATGCCTAACTCCACATGAAATGAGTTTCATTAAAAATGTCTAACTCCACATGAGATGATTATAGAGGTAATGTTGACCAAACAAATGACTGTGCATTCTTATTTTGTTTTCCATCACAATGTTGGTTAATTGGTTTGGAAATTGCAGTTCGGAAGATTCAAATTAGCTAGAGAGTGCTGTTGCTGTTATTATTATTAGACACTAGCTACTTCCGCGCGGTTTCACACGCTCTGCTCAGCTCCTATTAGTCGTAGAGTGATGTTTTATAGCCTACTAGCGACCCGCCCCGGCTTCGCACGGGTGCAATATGCATGTACATATTATACATATAAACAAAGTAAATTCCTTAAGAATCACTCCATCTATTAAAAAAAACCGCATCAAAATCCGTTGCGTAGTTTTAAAGATCTAAGCATACATACGGACATACAGCGAAAGCGACTTTGTTTTATACTATGTATTGATATAGCCTTCCTCGATAAATGCGCTATCCAACACAAAAAGAATTATTGAAATCAGATATTGTAGTTTCAGATATTAGCGCGTTCAAACAAACAAACTCTTCCGCTCTAGATAATAAGTATAAGAGTATAAGATGAACACAACTACATGACTGCCTCGTCGGCCGAGCGGTAGCAAGTGCGACTTCGGCTTCGAATTCCGAGTCGGGCAAAGAATTACTGGGTTTTAAAAAAATCTCAGTAGTAGCACGCAGACTGGAATTGTGCCCGGTGTATGGCAATAGGCTCATCCCTCATTACATGGGACTCATAACATAGTGAAAAGTGGGTGTTACAGTGTACAGTGACATTAAGTGCTATAATGTGCACCTCTGCCTACCCCTTCGGGGATATAAGGCGTGACGTTATGATGTTATATGTTACAACTATATGATAAATATAAATGCTTTCTGCAATCGCCTCTTTGCTGCAAAAATGCCCCTATTTTAATAAAAAGTCATTAAGTTAGGAAAATTTTGCTTTGGAAACGAGTAAAACGTCGTTAACACCTATCCGGGACGCTCGTAACACGTACGGTGTCGAACCACACTACAAGTTCATTTAGATTGCACGGCTACAAAAAACCAGTTTATCATGATTACGCTTTGTATAATCTCTCCATACATTCAACGGCCAGCTTATACTGGTTCTGCATAGCTTGATGTGTGTGTGCCGTATTCGTAGGCACCTATGTCAAAGCGAATTTGCTTGTTAGAACAAACTTCAAAATACCGAGAATCCAGTCCAACTACGACAAAGGAACTCTCACTCTATGATGTCTTAGTGTTAGTACAAAATTTTTCTTTTTGATGGCGTTGGCTTCGTTTTCAATTAGAATCATTGGAATGGTTCTGTTAAAACTGTTATTTTCGGTATTGTTTATATTACAAGCCATTTGGCAATGGTACATAAGTATATATTGTGCTACCATCCCTCCTATTCCCATGGGTGTCGAAAGAGCAAAAGGCAAATATCTATATATATAAAAGAAAGTCGTGTCAGTTACACTATTTATAACTCAAGAACGACTAAATCGATTTGAATGAAAATTGGTAGGGAAGGTAGATTAGAACCAGGAGACGGACATGGGATACTTTTATCGAATACTTTTTTTTACTTTTTACCGAAAATCACGAACGGGAACGGGGGGAAAATGGGATTGCGCGTACGAAGTCGCGCGCGGAAGCTTGTAATGAAATAAAGACAAATTATAGAAATCAATTTTTCATAGCATTTCTTAAAAATACATGAACTAGTCTGAAAGATTTACGCCTTAAGGGTTTGATCATATTTTTTGATTAAGTGTACGGTATACTGTACACTACTATGGGTATACCCATAGAATAAATTCGTGGGCACAACTAGCACCAACCATTTGTGTTAAAGTTCTTTGTCGTGAGGTAATTAAACCGCGCAAATCGATCGTCTGCAAATAGAATGCGTTCGACATACAACATTGCAACCATTCTCAATGACTCGAATAACAACTATTTATTAACATTACATCACTACTATCACCCGGCTTTGCTCGTGTGGTATTTACAAGATTTTCCCTTATTAGGAAACCCTTCCTGTTGTAAAACTGGGGCAGGAAATAGTTTTCCAATCGTAAACAATTTTTTGAAGTTTTTTTCATGTCTTAATATTTTGGTACCAAATTATGGTTTAATTTAAATAAATGATTTTGAGTTTGGATTTCTGTCGTATGGTTTTATTTTAGTGCCTGAATATAGGTAATTAAGAGGTTGAAGAGTGATATATGTCATTTTTTTTTTGACATATGAACGGGAAGATAGTGTTACATTATCAGTTTTTTAATTACCTCTAAAAACCTCTAATTTAATTTCTGTAATTTGTCTTTTCACAGTGAATTACCGAGTGAGTTCCCGACAGAATCGTATCCTCGAAAGCCTTGTGATGACAAACAGCGAAGGAAATGGCTCCGAAGGTACCTAAGGATTGTGAACAAGTATCGTACACATAACTCGAGATAACATACGTACCTGTACATTTCTGTTCTTTTTCTTTTATAAATACGTATTTAAATAAATCTCATTTTAAGGTACTATGTCTTTTATATTCTAGAAGGATACTCTCAACAAAAATGACTATAATTCTAAGTCCTTTGCTTATTTTATCGTCCTCTAGTTCTACTTTACCGTTGCTCTAAATATAGTTGAAAAGTTTCATAAATAAGTTACTAGAATTTAATGAATAATTAATTATTCCCATCAATTACCTAAATATGAAACAGTAATCCTAAATGCCAAACTTTCATTTACCTGTCATAAATAGCGTGATAGACTTGATAGGCGTGATCTAGGCGCTATTAACGTGTTCAAAGAATGATTGATATTTTTGATTGATTGATTGATATAAATAATTAGAAAATTAGGACTCGAGTATTCGTTAGGTTATTCCAACGAAATGTTATAGAAGCTAAAATGTAGGTCTTATAGACAAGTAACCCAACCTTCACAAATAATATTTGTATCTATGTTGACTGGACAGTTATGTCCCATACTTCCTAGTTTAGTCAGAAAACTGCCATAGAAGCCTTCCATCACAGTTTGCCATCTGACAATTTTTAGTTTTAATGTCCGTCTGGTATAATACTTAAATATGATAGACACGTATTTTTTATTTTCTTACGACAACGAAGATCCAGTTACCATTCTCTAGTGCTAAAAAAAATACTTCTCGCATATTAGATATAATAGTCTTCCTACAGCTGGCAATCGCAATTAAAGCACTCGAAACAAAATAACACATTAAAGGTATAATATATTTATTTATAATTACGTACTATGAATCTTTTTCTATTTGTTATACATGATTTAGAAAAAAAAATAGTTCGCGCACTTCCAACTAGCGGGCGGCCCGTGGCCGACGCGTGGCCGGCGCTGTGTGAGCGCGGTGACGACGCGCTTCCAACTCACGGGCAAGGTGAAAGCTTTTTACAATACCTTACTTACTACCTACCTACGATACGAAGTTGTTTCGCTGGCGCCTGGTGGCCGGCACGCCGTCAACTCCTCAGCGCCGCGCCGACGCCTCGCCGACGCCGCGCTGACCACCCGCCGTCGGCTTTTTGTATTGACGTTACAAAATATATCACACGACATACGATTTAAAGTTCATATTTAAATGACTACTTAATGGCTGCGTTGGAGCCGTGCTTTTTAAATATCGGATGACCTTAACAGTGTCTTCAATCGTTGAAGCCATCGTTTATGCTGTACTTCACTGATTGGATTTCCTTGAATTAACTCAGATGGAAACGATGGAGGATAATTGACGCTGAAATTCATATAATAAGAATTATTGTCAATGTTAACATCCAGTAACAATACTAGAGTCTACAAAATATTAATCTATTATGTACTTTTAAAACGATTGGAAAGGCCAGAATAAGGTTACTCTAGTGCACATTAAAGTCTCTTTGTTCTTACTATCTTCATCCTAAACTTATTGTAAGTATGTATATTATATTTTTTTAATCTCACCCCAAGCAAAGGTCATCAGTCATCCACTACAAATTTCTATCTCTTTCATATACCTAATTATTACCACAATCTATCCTTTTTTTCTATGATCATTCTCATCTTCACTCTATGTTATGGGCGACTATAAAATCTTGGAACTATTTTATCCATATATAATTAGATATTGAATTTACTAACTAGGTGTGGTCTTCATGTGGTATCTTGATAGGTGGCAGCACGAGTTGAACTTTCTTCATGGTGCTTCTTGAGGTAATAGGACTTTGTAACAATCTGAATAAAATAATATACAACATATTCGTTACATATTCATCGATAAGCTTGCGGTCACCTGCTAACCGATCGCGAGGCGCGCGGTTGGTAACCACTGCGACTGCGGGACCGCGATCGCGGCCGCCCGTACAAGACGACGGCCGCGGCCGGTGCAACGGGACCCGCAAACAATCGCACACGCCGCGGTGCGGGCATAAAGAGCGTCGTGATATGTGCTTTAATTTTTATACATAAATATCTGTTTTCTATAACACCACGGGCACGGGTGAAAACCAACCTTATCTAATAGCAATCACAGTCATAGTCAGCTACTTAACCAAACCATCAAATAAGTAAAGGGCACTCTACACTAGTGTCTTTTCTTGCTTCTGCAAAATCTTAATAAGTGTTAGAAGTAAGCATGGTACACTTACAGGAAGCTTTTGGACTTAAGCTCACATGGAGGCGGGGGCGGTAGAAGACGTAACATGGTGTCGAATTGAGCTCGTGGCAGACCAATGATACCTAAAGTTAAGCCTGAATTCACCAAAGCCTCTTCTGTACCGGCCACATATGTATATAAATACTTCAGTCGAGGTGACAACCTTAAAATTGCAAATATCACAATTTGAAACAAAAATCTAAGAAATTAATACAATGACTAACAGTTAAATATTTTATTATTAACTTTTTTTGAAGGGCAGAAGTCATCCAATGACTTTTCCTGCCCGGGTGAGGCGAGAGGGAGTACCAGACTCTTACTGACTGAAAACGACTCCATTTCTACTCCTGCACTTTGAGCCGGAGCTGCCGGGGCTCCGCCCAATTGGAATACATCTGTGGTGGTCTGATGGCTCTTTGAGACGCGCGCGAAACGCAACCGCCTTACGACGCGATACGCAACTAGCTTTATAAAAATTGCTTTAAAAAGCCACCAAAAATTGATTAAATTGTTTGCGAAACAAAAACATAATTAAATAATTTTAGCATTTTAGCGTAATTGCATTAAATAGTACAATACGGGCACTTACTGTGGATAATTTATAACTCCAAGTCCTAATAAGCGGTAATTATTAGATCTGTGGCAAAACACATCATTCATCAATGGTGATCGAGTCTTTATCATCCTGTCCAGGCGAACACAACGTCCGAACAACACCGATCGTTCCTCCGGCTCCATATAGGGTACAAAATTAAATGCTGTCTTTAACGAATGCTCCACAGGATTAAATATTTCCGACTTTAATATACGATGAGTTTCACATTCTAAGGACAAATATTGTACAATGCCTTGAGTGGTGCATTCTGCGTCAGGAAAATCGTTCTGTATTTACCAACAAGGTGTCTAATTGATAACAAGGAACGAATTTTTTTACTAGGAACTAAGACCTAAACTGACCTAAACTAACCTAAACTTCTGAGGAAATCCCCAAAAAAATAAAAAATAAACTTTGTCTCTCCTTAGGATAGTTTCCTGTGTCGTGTGTGCGTTTACAAACATACAAGTTCACATACACACGACACCCATACCCGAAACAACAATTTGTGGATCACACAAAGAGTTGCTCCGTGCGGGAATCGAACCCGCGACACGTTGCCCGGCAGCCGGTTGTCCAGCCACCGCACCAACCGTGCCGTCATCTATCATATTCGTCTTTATACGTAGGTAGGTACATTATTTTAAAAGAGACACCTATTTAAATTATTATGTTTTCGGCTTACTCACGTAATAATTTGACGAGGAACACGACTTGTTTCAAGCCATGCTAGAGGCTCATATTCATGAGCAGCATTTCGCGTCTAATTATTACGTGAGTAAGCCGAAAACATAATAATTTATTTAGTATGTCTCAGGAAAGTTACAAAACAGTTACCTATTTCACAAAAATGTTTTCTACCGAGAGCTATCCACACTATTTGTATACTGATACGCACGAGTGCTTCAAATAATCTTTGGTCGATGTCTGACAAAGACCGCTGATCCTTTTTACATCCCATGTGATGGTAGTTCTTCATGTCAGCTACACCTATACGACAAATCATCATCATCATCATAATGATCAGCTGAAGCATATTTACTGCTGAAAAAGGACCTCTCACTTTATAGAAAGTTTGCTGTAATCTCCAACTTACTTTGGCTTGACTGAGGAATGGCAGTTAGGGAAACAAAACATTTTAAGGATAAGTACAGTTTTAGGACATATTGGGCCTAAATGGCATAATGAAGTTACACAATATCACGCCTTTTATCCTCGAAGGTGTAGACAGAGGTGCACATTACGGCACTTGATGCCACTGTACAATGTAACACCCACTTTCTCTATTTATGTCTCATGTAATAGGGGGTGAGCATATTGCCATATACCGAGCACATTTCCAGACTCCATGCTAATACTGATATCTATTTAAAAAAGACTGTAATGCTTTGCTCGACCCGGTAATCGAACTCGAAATCCCTTGCCTGGCAGTCACACTTGCGATCACTCGGCCAACGAGGTAGTCATAATGAAATTACATAAAAATAGAAGTATTGTAAACATGTAAATCAGTTGGCTGCGTACTCGCCGCATCGGTTGTTATGCAAGCTGTTCCTGATTATGGTTCCTCGCATTGATACTAGTCGAGTAACCTCATCGAACAATTACATGAATAACCCGCTAATCGGATTAGTCTTGAATTGCAAACACTCACCAATCAGTAACATGCAATATTCTTTAGCAACTAACAGCCTCAGATCAGCTAAGTTCTCCTGGAACTCATTTTCGATTCGATCGCAGTTCGGTGTCCTCACTTTCGATGAAAGCTCCGAAATTCGTTTCGACATTTCGCTAGCTATCTGGTGATAAATGCAAATTAATTATGCGAGAATCACCTTACAAATATCATGTTCAAAATTATTACATTATGTACCTCTAAGTACATATTAGATACAGAATCTACAAAACATCCACAAAATTTAACAGTCTGCCTTTAGGAATGCAACGAGTAGGTACGCGCTGACTACGGGCTAGCTACGTGCTGGCTACGCGGAGACTACGCAGAGACTACGCGATGGCGGCGGCGTCTACGAAATGTCTACGCAAGGACTACAGATTCGAAAACTTATCACATTACGCAGAAATAATAAAAAATTTGAAGACACGAGTCTTATTTCACATTTTATTAATAAAATATTATGATTGTTACCTGCAAATGATAAATGCAGCAAAGAATAAGTGCTCTTAGAAATCTCTCTATGGTCGGCGTATGTAGCATGTTTATAAGTTTAGTGCTAAGAATGCTTACGGGAGCCGTGAATAATGCTAAGTCTTTTATATCCTGAAATATAGGAAGTAATATATGACAATGCAATATTTTGTAATAGGTTTTTTTATGGGATAAACCGGTAAACGAGCAGGTGGTGGTCCACCTGCTCGTTTCCCATCACCATCAGGTGATCCTGATGGTAAGCAATCGGCGTCGCCCATGGACACCTGGAACACCAGAGGCGTTACAAGCGCGTTACCGGCCTTTTGAGGATTGAGGATTATTGAGGATGCAGGAATTGGGAAAGGGAGGGAGGGGTAATTGGACCTCCAGTAACCTCATTCACATGACTTGGTTGGTTTTGGTTTTTAGAGATAATTAGGAGAGCGAAGACTACTACTACGGCTACTCTTTTCCTTTGACCACATAAGTGAAGCCTTGAACAAAAAACTTTTGATAAATAAAAAAGGTAATCGACAAGGAAAAACAACTAACCTGTAGAGTGATAAAGTCTGCTTCTCCTGATTTCAATCTTCTTTGATAAAGTCGCCGATAACGTATCTAAAAGAAAATATTTTCATATTTAAATTAACAACAACATCGTCAATCGCCATAACAAAACATTATAAGAAATCAAAATCAACGCCCACTTTTCACCAGTTACGTTATGTTATGAGTCCTATTAAGTAGGTAATAAAGGTCAATTGCCATACGTTTCCTACCACTCAATAATACTTCGCCTTACTCGGTTATCTATGTATTTTTAAAATATTGATAATAGGTAGGCGCATGCCCGCTATCTCCCCTGATGGTAAGCGACGATGCAGTTTATGATGGATTACGCCTATCTAAAGTAGTAAGTACCTTTAGGAACCACAGACTCCAACAAAGCGTTCTACTTCTCTGCTATTCGCACAAGATAACTTAGCGAAATACTTCGTTCTGGTGGGTGGAACATGTACATGTACATATAACGGTGCCGTTTTGCCATTTGCGATGGTGAATCGAACTGGGAGGAATTATTGCCCAAATACTGTAAGGCTACTCAATTTTAAGCCATCTCTGTCATTTTCGGAGGGCTTTACGGGTTGCCGGGGCTCCGGTTCGAAGAGCAAGAGCAGGGACAGGGTGGTTTTTATTCAGTAAGAGTCTGACACTCCTTCTCGCCCCACACAGGCGGTAAAAGCCATGGGATGACTTTCCCAGCAAAAAAAGTCTTATTTTACAAAGAATTTGTATAGTAACGGAACTAACAGTGAGCGCGATTTAAAATTGAGTGGTGTTAAAATATTTGAAGTTGTGCAAAGTAAGCTATCCCGAGATTCTTCTATCGATGGTCCCAATTACATATATGTAATAATATCAATGAACGAGTATTATAAATCTAGTATAGTCGCATAAAACAAATAATTATGGCCAATAAATACTACCATAACCATAGTAAGTACAGAATAAATATGTTACCTGTTCGAATAAGTCAACGTCATCTTTAAATTTTACGGTACTAGTGGGTATTTTTGATTTTGATAGTATGGGCCCTCTCTGCACAGAAGGACGGTCCCTGTAAACATAAAATCAACACATACTATTTAAAGTATTATCTTATAATGAATCATCATTAAATATCTTGGTGGCTCGGAGGTTTAAGACGCACACTTCTCATGCATGAGGGTGCAGGTTCGATACCTACTAACGACAAGTATCAATGTGACTTTTTCCCAGTTACCTATACAGGGTGACTTTAAACTCGACGTATTCTTCTGGGGAAGTGACAATACAACTAATTTCCTACAAAAATAGCCCTGAGGTCTCTAGTCCGAAAGTGTCTAGTTTCTGAGATATTCAACATTTTCGGTTGTGGTGAAAAAATCGCGATCTCACTACAAAAACATCAATATAAAAAAACTACTGGTTTGATTTAAGTGATTTTAGTATTAACTCGTGGAGTACCGTCATTATAGACACAATTAAAGAACTATAGGTTGCGATCAACTGTCAAATCACCGGTACTCAAAGAGTTAATTGATTGTCGATACATCAATAAACACTGGGCAACATGAATACAAGTGTATACCGGGTACAATTCCAGACTCCGTGCTACAACTGATATTTTTTTCCCGACCCGGGAATCGAACCAGAGACCCCTTACCCGGTAGTCACGCGTCGCGGAGAATCTAACGGGTTGCCGGGGCTCCGGCTCGACGTGCAAGAGAAGGAACGAGGTGGTTTTTAGCCAGTAAGAGTCTGACACTCCCTCCCGCCTCACCCAGGCGGGAGCAGTCATTCGATGATTTTCCATTCTTACAAAAAAAAAACCTGGTAGTCACACTAGCGACCACTCGGTCACTGAGGCAGTCAGACAAACAGGCAGGTAAAAAGAACTTGATTTTATTCAGTTTCTATAACTAAGACTTTAATACCGTATGAACAGCAGTGCTTGTGTTTGTTCGTTCCAGACCCAGTGTCCACCCTCGTACACCCCAAAATATTCGTCTTTTTCATCGTCATCGGCCATATCTAGCAAACACATTAAAAAGAAAACAATATTTTCAAACAAAATAATACAATTTAAAAGAAAATGTCTTCGCGACGTTCTATGACTATTTACAAACGTCACACTGACATAGATCAACAAGTTGGTCATGCGCATTTTCGCCTGAAACAGATTTTATACCAACTTTTCTTTTTTTATACAAGTATAACGACTGCCTCGTTGGCCAAGCGGTCTCGGGTTCGATTTCCGGGTCCAGCAAAGTGTTACTGGGTTTTCAATCTCAGTAGGTAGTCGCACGGAGTCTGTACCTAATTGTGCCCGGTATATGGCAATAGGCTAAGCTCCTATATTACATGGGACTCATAACATAAATAGTGAAAAGTAGGTGTTATATTGTACAGTGGCATTTAGTGCCGTAATATGCACCTCTGCCTACCCCTTCGGGGACAAAAAGCGTCATGTTATGTGCAACACTTACGTCAGATTTCCACATACGTTTTTTTAATTCATAAACCATCGTTTACTACAAAGCGTGCAAATGATTATCTAACATAAAGACGATCACATAATAACCATATTCCAACACAGTGAGATAAACAAATAAATAACTTATATTAATTTCCAAACTCGTTTCCACAAATGTTAAAGATTCATCGGTGCGCGACTTATGATCATCAATATTTCAACATCTTATTCATGATTATAATTCATGGACAGCTATAACTTCTAAATCGGAATCTCCATCCAGCGTGTTTGTAAGTTCGGTAGAATTTACGGCGTCACTAGTAAGTTTACTCCCGGCTTCACTGAATATAAAGTTATGTTAATGTTACTAGTGCATACAACTCTGGACCTTAAAACTTATAAAATGTTCTAAGTTATTTCCAATTCGGGATAAAAGCTATTAAGTATTTGTTGTAAGCGGAGCGAGCATACTTGTGTGCTTTTACTGCTAAAGGGTACCTACTTGTAGAGGCGTATTAAATTCAAGCGATATTTTGTAAAACAAATAAAGATGTCCTCGTTGGCCGAGTGGTCGCAAGTGCGACTGCCGGGCAAGGACTCTCGGATTCGATTCCATCCGATTCCAGGTCGGGCAAAGCATTATTGGGTTTTAAAAAATCTCAGTGGTAGCACGGTGTCTGGAATTATGCCCGGTATATGGTAATAAGCTCACCCCCTATTACATGGGACTCATAACATAAAATATTAAAAAGTGGATGTTACATGGTACAGTGGCATTAAGTGCCGTAATGCCACCTCTGTCCACCCCTTCGGAGATAAAAGGCGTGACGTTATGTTACGTAAATAAAGATGTGATCGAGTAAGCGTACTACGACGAGTAAGCCTTAGTACGAGTTTATTTTAGGTTTCAAGTTATCGGTACGAGTACTCGTTCGGCGTAGTGCCGTTCTCATTTCGTTTATTACTCGTATACTATTACTCGTACTAAGGCCTCAGATTATTGTAAAATGGAAATTTCTGTAGGTACATAGGTCAATGTACGCAAGGAAGTAGTAAGAAACTAAATAAGTGCATAGCGCTAGTCCACTTATCGGTCCGAGCTCTTATTCTTTACTTTGTAGAACGGACAATAAAATCACTTACAACTTTACCCGCGTTCGGATGCAAACATTTGAAAATAGAGTGAATAACAAACCAATAATATTTATTTTAATATTGTAAATGCAAGTCTGTTTGTGTGTTGCAATTTCAATTTGAACTAAATTAGACGATTGATGTAAGATATAGTTTCAACTAGTCGAAAGGACATACAGTTAATGTTAACAAGCCAATTTTTAAACACAGAGATATAAATCAACACTGTGGCTATAATTAAACTAATGTAGAAAACTTCAAAGCAAAAAATACTTAATCACAAGCAAGCAAAGTATGGAAAACGTACAGAAAAATTGCGGGTAACGTTTGTCGCCATACATTTTTACATGAATAAACAAAAAAATTGAGCATGTGTGTCACTTGTGTTAATTTATTGAATTGGCTGCTACACACGATCGCACAGAAGGCTGCGACACGTTGCTTTGATCGTGTGCGCCCTGGCATGTGATCAAATGAGTATCTACTTAGTTTAACACACGGTTGGGGATTAGCGCGGTTACTAACAGGGAACCATTAAAACATTCAAAGTAAATGTACCTACGTATCGTTAACGCTCCACTTCTTTAACAGAGGGTTCAAGAACAAATGTTCTTGATATTACAAATTGAGTTTTAGTCAGTCTCTTGTGCTAACTGGCTCACTTACATTTTTTTTGAATGGTTTTAAAATTTTAAAATACACCTTTGACAGTCCATTGTTGAAATATCAACCTCTTCTTTATAAGAGTTTTAGGTTTATTTATCTTAATCTCCATGCTTGGCAGACCAGTTGAAAATCGTAGTTCGAAAAATCTAGTTTGCCAGACAACGCTGCTGTCCGGCGTCTATCAAATATGCTGTTCCACCCGTAAGAAAAGTAAGGTTTGCGAAAAACATCTTTTAGTGCCGTCACCACAAGGCTTGTTTCTGAAGTTACGTTAATAACTTCAGAAACATTGTGATTGTGACGACACGTTTCTTAGCGTCAAACAGCAGACTCCTTTTTAAAAAAAAATCTAGAATAATACTAAAATTAAGTTGGTCAAACAATAATTTAATGAAATTGTATCATTTTTTTATATTTTATTGTATTGAACAGTCGAAATAATTTATTTTTGATTAAGGAAAGTACCCAACTGCCGATTGATAGTTCATTATAATCCATTGCTTTTGTAAAAACAATTTAATATGAAATAGTCACTGCTTAGTAGTACAATGACCATCAACTGCGACCCAATGGGTTTTATTATCTACCCAAAACCTTTAAAGGTCCGAAACAAAGTAGTTAATATGAACTGTATGAACATAATTTTAGTTCTCAAAATCATTACCTGGTAAGGCCTCTATTTGATACAATTTTGATTAAGTTCATTGGTATAATTTTGAGTGAAATACTTTTTTACTGCTTTAGACGGCCTCGTTGAGACCTTTACAGATAAAACAGTTGTATGAAGTCAGCTAATTAAAAAAAAAACACATTTTAGATAGATAAAAGTTCACAGAACTTAAAACACTTTCTCCCGACACATTAAATACCATTAAATACCTATTGGTATAAAAATCCCCGTTCGGGCCTAAAAAAATTACATTCAGCGTACATAGGCATGCCAATAGAATGTCGCTTCAAGCTCCACTAGCGTTTACACGGACAAACAAAGCGCACGTGTAACTGGTAAACCGAACATATTTCTAACTCAATGAACATTCTTCACAAAATTTCAATTGTTTCATTGGCAGTGAAAACTGAAATGAAACAGTTTTTTGTTTATTTATTAGGGACCTGTGGCAGCAGAACTGTGTGCACTTTTTTGATGAAGTGGCAACATCGAAAATTCGTTCGATACTAGTTTTTTAATTGAACAAACGTGTTTTTGTATACTGTTTCATTTAAAGATATAAAGACTGCACCGTTGGTGCGGTAGCTGGGCTACCGGCTGCCGTGCAACGTGTCGCGGGTTCGATTCCCGCACGAAACAACACTTTGTGTGATCCACAAACTGTTGTTTCGGGTCTAGGTTTCATTGTGGATGTGAACTTGTATGTTTGTAAACGCACCCACGATACATGAGAAAATCCTCATGTGGGGCAACGTTTCTCTAAATAAAAAGAACAGATATCTAATAGATAGAAAATAGAAGACGAGATTTTAGAGTCAGTTAGGCTAAGTTTTGCTAGAATCTGAAACTGTCATAAAGTAACAACTTCCAAGGACAATGCTGTTAACTGTAGTTAAAAGGCGTTAAATAAATGCAGGCAATCAGGCAGGCAAGCGTTCCTTGTAACATCTTCATAGAACCAGCATTTCCCCCTGACGAACTAAACTAGATATTATTGCATCGGAATATCTAGGTTAAAAGCCGTGGAAATTTAATAAAAACCAATTCGATTGCATTGGATGAAATCAAAAGCCAGCCGGTGTTGATGCAAGGATGAAGTACACGTATTCGTTGAGAAGCACGTTCGACGGAGTATAATCCTTTGCCGAGAGCGATGTTCAATCTACTCCGCAGTCATAAACCGGTGTTCCAGAGACGTAAACTGTACTACGTGAGCTCGCAAAGCGGATAGGAAAGACATTCTGCTACTAGTGTTGTGTACACGTCTTTTTAAAAGATCCTCGATTTGAGTTGCTGGTTGCACTTGTATTGCTAAACGTTTAACGAATTGTGAGGTTAATCTAGTTGTCGTGTGCTTCTCTTGTTGATAGCATAGAATTACAAATAGTATCTACATTATATGTCTTTAATCAGTGAAATATTTAAGTAAATTCGTATATCATTGACAAAAGAAAATGTCAAATCTAGAATCCACGAATCTTGCACAAGATTATGAAAGATCGACTGCCTCGTTGGCTGAGTGGTCGCAAGTGTGACTGACAGGCAAGGTATCTCGGATTCGATTCCCGGTTCGGGCAGAGTATTACTAAGTTTTTGAAAATTCTCAGTAGTAGCACGTGGTCTGGAAATGTGCCCGGTATATGGCAATAGACTCACCCCCTATTACATTTGACTCATAACACAAATAGTGGAAAGTGGATGTTACGTCTGTGTGCACCTCTGCCTACCCCTACGGGGATGAAAGGCGTAATGTTGCACTTTTACATATTAATGTATTTTCATTTATTTCATCGAGTACAACTTGAAAAACATTACCCTCCTTCTTTGGCAGTCGGGTAAAAATTAATACACAATCTTCACAACCCTATACCAACAACAAAATCGATTTAAATACAATACGAATGCAACAAAACATGAAATTAATCCTAGATATTAAAGAGATACAATTGCAGCTCTGTCATAAAACATGTTTATGCTTTTAGTAGCGAGATCGATCCGATACTTAGTGTACTAAGTACCGCTCTCGTCTCTTTAGAACAAGTTTATTAGATGCACCCCGTTGCTTCATGATATTTACATTCATACTCGCTGTTCACAGTCTGCGCCTTGAGCGCTAAGCACGTCTAATACGAATCTTAAATAAAGTCTTAGGAATAGATCATTTTATTAGTTCAAAGATTTTAATATTCATTAGACAATTGGAAGTTAATCTAGTTATGTTTGGAGGCATAATATTGATTGTCTGATTTTCTGCAAAGGATTAGACGGAGTCATATGTTGAGTTAATTTACATGGCCTCCTCTACAAAAGAGACATTAGAGCTATAATCAAAACACTAGTGTCACTAACAGATGAATTTGAAAGGGTCATCGAAGCTCGCGGATGAGCTCGAAGCATTTATCGAGGCCATCGAAGTCTACCGCGACTGCACCAACGTCAGCGACGAGCACGATGCCGATGCTGCTGGTGGGCGAGGCCGCCGTCTGGTGGCTTTTATCAGACAGGTCGGCTACCTAGCTTCTGTCAAATATGTTGTTATCCCTGTCGACTCTTATACTCATTACTCCGTGGAACACACGGTGGGAGAATGCCCTTCGTGGGCTGAGCACCGCCGTGTCCTCAGGGAAGTGATCGGCGATGGCGACCTCTCGCGTCCGGGCCTAGTGCGGGCCATGATGCGGAGCGAGGGGGACTGGGATGCCGTCTCCTCCTTTTGCGAAGCAGTCATGCTAGCTAAGGAGGAGGCGGGACGCGTGAGGCAGCGAAGCGCTGCCTCCTCGCAACCCAGCCATCGCGAAGGACACACCGGGCGTCGGGGATCGCGGGACGATCTCCGGCCACCGTAAGCGCGGGCCTGCGGACGGCGAGCATGGGTGGCTCCCCGTCCGACCAGAAACAGACCCGAGCGTACGGCGCGTCGCGTTCCGCGCGCGCCTCAAAGAGCCATCAGACCACCACAGATGGGGCCCAATACGGCCGATGCCGATTCGGAGTCGCGGAGAACCTAACGGGTAACCGGGGCTCCGGCTCGACGTGCAGGAGAAGGAACGGGGTGGTTTTTAGTCAGTAAGAGTCTGACACTCCCTCCCGCCTCACCCAGGCGGGGGCAGTCATTCGATGATTTTCCCCCCTTAAAAAAAAAAAAAATACTCATTACTCCAATGAATCTTGTGGAAATATTATGACGGACGGGAACCAACGGTGACAAAGAGATAACTCTGGCCTCACCACACCACCTGTTACTTATTTAAGCGAACCTCTCCCCCTTGTTAAATACTGGTACAACGACTCATAAAAACTGATTTTTCTTTTTAGAATATTCGATCTGAATATTCTTTGTGTCAAAAGTCAAAAGCGTCATTCAGCGACGTGTCACTACAATAAAAGACTTGTTTTGCATTGTAAAACTTTATAGAAATAAATAAAAACTTGTAATATGACTGAAGATGACGATTTTCATATTGGACTTTATGAAAATGGTCATTGGGCATGGAATGATAGACTAGAACAAATGATATATGTAAGGTAGGTACTTCTTCACCGTCATTATCAACAGCCCATTTGGAATCACTTCTGGACATAGGCCTCTCTAATGGCAAGCCACTGAGCTTGATCTTTACAGGTAGTAAGATGCTTATAAGGTATTCATACACACATCAACAGCCTATAGTAGCCACTGCTGACCAAAGGCCTTTCTTCCACTGAGAGCATTTGAGCATTAATCAGCAAGTTTGCTCAATGCGGTTTGGCGATTTCAAACTTATAATTAGAAATTGTAAGCCCAGGTTTACTCGCGATGTTTTCCTTCACTGTTTGTCAGTGGTGTGTAAATAACCTTAATGCTTACAATGGTTATAAAACCATAAATTTTGTTACTATTGACAGTATAAAAAATCGGCGAGAAGTGAGTGCTTGTACCTTTTATGTGATGTTCAATGTTACAGTCACCGGCATCCTCAGGAGGAGGAAGTTCCATTAGATTTTTACTTGGCGCCGACTAATCACATGCAATTTAGAGAAGATGTTGATCTTGTGGAACAGGTAATGTTCTTAACACTTTCAAATGACCACAAATGACCTCTCCGATTGTCTCCTATTAAATGGTAATGGAATCTTAAAACTGCCTTTAAGTATCTACTCTGAGTTTTTTGGCCCTCTCTATATTATAAATCTGTTATCAAGAGCTTGCTTCTCTAAATAGATTGCATGCATGACGAACATCGTTATCATATGAACCACTTAGACCTCCCTCAAGAAAAGAACTACCAGATTAATTGGTTGGAATTAAAAATTACTAAAATTCTTCGGTCTTCTTTTTATTTGGATTCTTCTATCCTCCCTCATTTGATCCTCCGTGATGCGTTTATAATTAACTAGCGACCCGCCCCGGCTTCGCACGGGTGCAATATGCATGTATTATACATACAAACCTTCCTTAAGAATCACTCTATCTATTAAAAAAAACCGCATCAAAATCCGTTGCGTAGTTTTAAAGATCTAAGCATACATACGGACATACAGCGAAAGCGACTTTGTTTTATACTATGTATTGATTGATGATAATTATATTGTTTAGATGCGTTATCGTCGACATTTTCAACGAAAACTGTTACCAGGCCACCCTGATATAATTTCATTACAGGTAAGCATTTTTGTTGTATCTGATTTTGCTTATTTGACTTCGCAAAAAATCACAAAAATTCGCAAAAATATTATTGTGTATTTTCAAAATTCATTTTATCAGCATGATATTTTGGAATCAGGACTATTGAATGGGGTTTCCTCATCATTCATATTATTATTCAGTCACTGCTAAAACAACTGTGTTTATGTTTCAGGACATCAAAGACCTTGTGATATACACTGCTCCTGTGAACTTTTTGAGTTCTCGACTCATTAATATGTTACATACACCTACAGGAGAAAGATTTCTGAGAGCACTAGTTCTTTATTGCGCTTACTCATTACAGGTGATGATGACATTATTAGTACTATAGTTAATTCTAAAAAATAATGACTTCAATATGAAAGTCGGTCAGACATGTTTTATAAAATCAACAAACTTTTACTTTCGTACCACGTCTCGGTCTTTATCAAGTAAAGTCGAGAAATACTTGGTTTGGTTGCCGTTTTGAGATAAATTCGTAAGAATCGCCCATCATCGTCTTCATCATAAACCACAAGTCAACGATTACTAAACAGGTCGCTTAGATTCGGATTTATCATAAGAATGCAATTTCATCAGGTTACAGAACAAATGGTTTTACGTAATCTGGAACTGGAAACAAAAATCAGGACTACGGACAGCGGAATACTGGAAGATGAACTGCGTGATAACTTATCTGATATTCGAGTGCTAGTGGCTAAAGAATACTGCGTTATTCTTACTGGTAAGCTAGTCCTAGTTCACATCATCATCAACAGCCTATAAGTGGCCACTGCTGACCAAAGGCCTCTTCTCGCACGGAGAAGGCTTTAAGCACCACGCTTGCTCATGGAGGTTGGCGAATTCAGACTTATAATTAGAAATTATAAGCCCAAGTTTCCGCATGATGTTTTTCTTCAACGTTTGTCAGTGGTGTCTAAATAATCTTAGAAATTACATACCTATAACTCAGAAAAAGTCACATTAGTACTTGCCGTCGGAAGGTGTCGTACTTATACTCTAATGCTGGCGTCAAACCTTCGGGCCACCACGACAGCTAGTCCTAGGTAGCGATTTGTCTTAACGAAAAGTTAACTTAAGATTTCAAAGTTCACCGAAATATTTTGGGATTTTTGTTCGATATTCAACAACTGATACTTGGCAATAAACTAACCCCTATTACATGGGACTCATAACGTAACTTGGGAAAAGGGGATTTATTTTGTAATATGCTCTATCTAACTAGTAAGTAACCCCTAATACTTGAGATTGTTTCATTGTTCCCGTGCAGGTGCGGATGACATGAAGCCATTTCACCACATGGGCCCCATGAAGGATAAACGTTCCCTACCCGGAAAAGATGCTCGTACATTTGATATATTTGTACGTCTGTGTGTTCAAATAGTTTATTTGGCTCTTGGACGCCGAAATTTACATCAAATTGGTAACCGTTGCCTTGTCCTTTGTTAATTTACTAAAAAATATTTAAATCCGAGGTTTCTAATTGTGCTACATCTAAATCCAATTTAAATATGTTGATAAATCGATTTCCAAATGATTTTTAACGAGCTTGTCTGTAAGCTATTTAATTACCAACAGAAATAGAAACTCATCGTATATTAAAATCGGAGGCCTTCAACGCAAATGAGTCCAAATCACGAGCACGACCCATGGAACTCCAAGCCAGCCAATCTAAAACACAACAAAAGCAGCCTGCGTTTATACAAGATGTCATTTACGGCAAGTGCTTTCGTCACCACCGAGGAGTCTTTACACATTCACCGCTTTTGAACGAAATCTTCTGTCCTGCCAGACCAGTAGACTACCGAATGTTGGGCCTCGCAGTTACCAAGTATCCTCAGTAAGATATATCTTTCTACTATCAAAGTACGGTGGCTGGACAACCGGCTGCATTGCATCCTAGACAGAGATTCCAAATAGAGATATTTGGGTAACAAATTGTTGTACGGGGTCTCATAAATGATATATTACATTATCATATTGTTTTGTTCTTATTTGTTGCAAATTGCATTAAATAAATTTTGTTATGTTAGGCTGACTCCACGGCTAGAATTCCTGCGAATGATCCTGGCTGGATCAGATAAAGACTTAGTGGAAAATAATATAATTGTGGGCATCATAGGGATGCCACGCGACCTGTTCGACATTATGCTCAGGTTTTTACCACCTACTTCCAGCCAAGATAAGTCAAAATCTGGTGTAATGTAAGTACCTGTGATCAATGAATATAGTTTTATTAATTACTTAATTTCAACTAAATATCTAATACTTGTATTAATGTATAAAGCTAAAGAGTTGTTTGAACGCGCTATTCTCCGAAATTATTGGTCCGATTTGAAAAAATATTTTCGTATTCACTAGTCCACTTATGGATGAAGGGTATAAAACTTTACGCTACGATCAATAGGAACCGAGCAGAGCAAGTGAAACCAGGCGGACGTAGCTAGTATACTATGACGATGAAGCAGAATAGGTACGCTAGAAATGAGTTAGGCAACTATAGTAAGTTTTCATGAAAACAATTTCCAATATAGTAACTACACAACTATTGCAAAATTCATTGATTTATTTTATTTACATCCTCAGACCTAAGATGAGCGCCGCCAAAGCTACGGCATCGCGGGCAAGCAGTATGTCCGCAAAGAAATCTACATACGCGCCAACCTATCCTGAAATTGTGATACCACCTAAAACAGACGTCGAGTGAGTTTCAGTTTTATAATTCTCAGCATTTGTTTCTATTGGATTATTACCAGGCATTTAGAACATAATATAAAGAATGGAAAGTCTTTAGGTTCAGACGGTATATCGATTAAAACATCAGCTATAACACAATGCAAATAACAATAGGAAGTTTATTTTTATCAAATCAATTGTTCTCTTTCACTTTTCTGACAGGTTGACCGCTCCAGAAGGGTTTATTGACGAACCAGATGTAGTTGTACCTGTGAATGAGGTGCAGAGAAAACTCTGGCTGCGAAGGTTCAAATCGATGATGAAGCTACTAAAACAAAAGAGACGTTAACTTTGATTTTGTTAGGTTACTATGCTCAAGGCCAGGGCGGTGTGGGTGAGACTTTCCTAGAGGGGCCGAGTAAGAGTAAAAAGTGCAGTCTTTTCATTTGCAACTTTGGCTTTGCACCCAAGTACCCTCCAATAACCATTGGAAGTTCGCGGATACTAGGACCTGGAGAGCAATTGTCATCCAAATCAAATCCCCTATCTGCGCTAGTTGACTTATAAGTGAAATGAGTGTATGTACCTACATGAATAGTGTCTCCATTGTTTGTATATGTTAGTTTTATAAATATTATTTAATATATTTTGTTTTATTTACTTTGCTTATTTACACAAATATGAACTAATATAAATGAATAGCAGCTAATAATAATGGGATTCGGAAAATGCATTTACATATATACATTCGGACATCCCGATATATGGCAATAGGCTCACCCCCTATTACATGGTGTTACATTGTACAATGGCATAATGTGCACCTCTGCCTACCCTTTCGGGGTAAATAAATCCTTACCTAATCGTTTCCCAAAGCTTTCCTTTCGAGAACGTGGCAAAAAAGGCGGATGTAATGTCATTTAGAAATAATTGAAGCACCAAAATGTCAGTGATGTATTTATGTGTGCGTGTACTTACAACACCGTAATGTATGAAGTGTAATGATGGCCATGTCACGCGACAGATGTCCTTCGTGTCAATGTGTGTGTATTCTGCGTGTAAGTCTATAGTAGCCAGGTGCTACAGTCGTTGCTTCAAGAGACTATGTCCACCTTTCCTTTTTAGTATGATGATAATGACAAATAGAATTATGAATAATTTTATATTGACATTTTTAACATTCATGTCAAAAGTTATCAATGCTGTCAAGCCATTGACGTCTCATTTCAAACAATCCCCATTGAAAACATAACATTTCATACGGTCAATCACAACTGCCCATTAATATCAGACTTTTACACATTCATTTAAACGTAATTGTTATCTCATTTACAAAAAATGGCTGATGATGACGATGAGGGAGACTTCGGAGGGTTGTATGAGGATGGCCACTGGATTTGGGATGAGCAAACAGAAGCATTACTATTTGTAAGGTTTGTGAAATAATTTTACCATTGAATAAAACGTCCTAGTAACTCAGTATATCTACTATCAGAGGTCTTATGGAAAAAAGTAAATAAAAGTAAAAAAATAAATAAATAAAAAGTAAGTAATAATTATTATCCTTGAAAGCAAACATAGGGACGCTATACAATGTATTTTGGAGGGCTTATAGACATCTGATAACGGTTAGAAACAATCACGAGTATACTGTGTTAATCTAAGTTTCTAAGCAAAAGCGCAGCAGTAGATATCAAATAGATAATGCTTTACCCAATTGACATTTCTTGATAAATGCGCTTATGGTCATTAGGCCAATGAAATAGTTATAGGTACTTTTTATTTAATTTTCAGTGATCTTCCACCAGCACACGTTGAAGCAGTTCAAATAACAACCAAAGCACCGACTGGCACTATTGAATTCAGAGATGATATTGATTTAATTGAACAGGTATCCCATTCAACCTTTCATTTTAATGCAATATAAATATTTAAGTGAATTTACCTACCTTTGTAATGTTTTTCTTTGTAGCTTCGATATAAACGACGGTATCAAAGGAAACCGACACCGGGAAAAACTGATTTAGTTACTTTACAGGTTTTATTAGTTTATCTTATTCTTTTATAAATGTATATTTTCTTTGTTGCCTGCTGGCCAGTTTGTGGACCCCAAGAGAGCATGACCGGGTTTGAAAATCGTATTACTATTTACAGTTTCGAAATTGTCATTAGCAATAGACGTAAATACTACATACCTACCTAATAATTATGCTTTGGCTCGATTCTAGCTCCTACAAGACAAATGTAAATAACTTATTTTCTGTACTGAACAAGTGTCCTGCACGGTTGGCGCGGTGGCTGGCAACTGCTTGCCGTGCAACGTGGCGTGGGTTCCATTCGCACACGGAACAACTCTTTGTATGATCCACAAATTGTTGTTTCGGGTCTGGATGTTATTTGTACCTATGTGAAATTGCATGTTCGTAAACGTACCCAGGACACAAGAGAAAATCCTAGTATCCAAAGTTTTTCTTAAAAAGAAAAGAAAATCTTGAATTTTCAGGATGTGAAAGACATAGCACTGTACACTGCTCCCGTTAGCATATTGAGCCCAATGCTTATTGATTTGTTACATTTACCTTCCACTGAGAGGCTTCTCAGAGCTCTCATATTCTGCTGTGCCTACTATTTACAGGTATTGTGTTTTTATAAAATTAGCATTTACACTCCACTTCAGCAAATTTTATCGCAGCCAAACGCTGATACACTTATCTATATGATGATGCATGTACAATTAGTAGCAGCCTATTACTCAGTAGAATAAATACTCAGAATGCCCTAATTGCCATACAAACTACATTCATTTACTTATTTTATAACTTTCGTGAGATATACTTAATTAATCATTATGTTTTTCGGCTTACTCACGTATTTGACGAGGAACTCGACTAGTTTCAAGCCATGCTAGAGGCTCATATTTATGAGCGGCATTCCGCGACCCCGACGCGGCGATTGTCACGCTGCTACTCAACGAGTAGCCGAAAACATAATAATTAACCTACACATTTTTAAGTTAGTCTTCTTATTTGGTCTAAAATATAGATTATCATGATGGATTCCGTACTTTTTTAATGGGGCCTACCGTATTTTTGCTCCGCAGATGACGCTAGTGTGCGCCTCTCGTTCTTCGTCCAATAGGGAATTAACTAAGGTCACATCATTAGGCGTTCAATATTTGATAGCTGCTGTGATTTGACTAAAAAACCATTTTCTATGCTTGCGCCATCTAGTAAGCAAAAAAAACGTTAGCCCCATTCTTCGCTTACAAACAAAGATACACGATGACGGATTTTGCTCCATAATAAGATGGTGCAGACCTACATTTGTTAGGATTGTCTAGTACATTATCCTGTTTACATTTCATAGCTATCTACCAGTAAACTAGTACCTAATTTTACTTCAGTGTTTCACATTCCTAGGTAGCAGAAGAAATGTCCACCCGCATAGCGGACCTAGCAAATAAAGTAAGGACTCAGGGATGTGAAATTTTGGAAAATCAGTTTCACGAAAACTTGTCAGATCTGAGACTTTTAGTAGCCAAGGAATACTGCATTATGCTTATTGGTGAGTTATGGTGGTTATCATATACCTCATATAACAAGCAAACGGATCATCAGATGGTAAGCAATCAGCGTCGCCCGTGGACTGTGGACACTACACAGCAAAACCAGAGGAGTTTTTCAGGGAGGGGCATTATGTTTTTTAAAAGCAGATTAACAATAACACATAACATTTTGTTGGTAGATACCTATCTACTTTCTAATATTTTCGTGATTTTTATCGGTCAGGTGGTGGAGATATGAAAAAATTTCATCACATGGGCAAGGAGAAGAAGAGGCGGTCGTTGTCTGATAAAGACGCACGACTATTTGAAACTTTTGTCCGCGTGTCCGTACAAATTGTCTACTTGGCTCTAGGACGCAGGAATTTTCATCAAATTGGTTATTCACTTATTGATTGTTATTTCTAATTACAGTTTAATATTATAATTACCTCAATACACAATTGCTTCTAATTATTTCAGAATTAGAATGTCACCGTCTATTGAAATCTGAGATATTTAACACGGTGGAACATACGTTGAAGACTGGATACCTCTTGAAAATGATCCCTGAGGAGAAGAAAGTTCTACTGGGGCCATGCGTACATCACGACAAGAAGCTTAACACTCGATCCCCGCTCATGAACGAAATGTTCTGTCAAAGACCTATCGACTTTCGTTTAATGGGATTAGGAGTTGTCAAATATAAGAAGTAAGCAACTAAGTGATTTTATTAGGCCTATATTTTCATTATTCATATTTTCACAAAAACTAAACTTTCTGTACCAACCTCTTAAACTTCGTTTTTTTGTTTTAGGCTAAGTACTCGACTAGAATTCTTGTATCTTGTCGTATCTGGTTCAGAGGAGAAGTTATTGGAATCCAATATATCAGTGGGACTTATTGGCATGCCACGCGCTCTATTCGACACCATGCTCCGACCCATTGTAGGCCAAACCACTGAGAAGTCTAAAGCCTCTGTTATGTTAGTTGTTAACATTTTTATGAAACAACTAGATATTATCTTTACGATACATGTTAAATTAGATAGTTTGCCAATTTTATTCATTGTTTTTCTATTTTTGTTTTCTTGTTTTTTTTTGCCCTTGCATTATTGTGCACATACCACCCATTCCCAGATTCTTTTCAAAAATTCCATCCAAAGGTTGTCTAGAAGAAATCGCCGCGTGTGATAAAACTGCCCATTGTACTCAAATTACAATTACAATGTATTCTGTTACTACTACAATGTTTTCTGTGTGTTGAATAAAGTATCTATAAAATAAATAAAATACCTACCTAATGTTAATGCAGCTTATTCACGTCTCTCAACTAAAGGCTTTTTATAGCAATATAGCTCCGTAAACAAGCGGATAGATAACCTGATGATAACAGCGATCAGCGCCGCCCGCCGCGATACTCGCAGCACCAGAAGCGTTGTAGGTACCTACTTGTTACCAGTGCGTTGTCGACTTTTAGGCAATTTGAGATTAGGGATGGAAGAACCTCCGGTAACCAAAATCACACTGTGAAACACAATGCAAGTGTAAAATATCCACAGAATCTGATTAGGAGCTCCAAATCGAGAAGCTTAGAGTAGTATGCTTATAGGCAAGCGTGATCCGTCATTAACTTCATCATCAGTAACTAGGACGTAATAAACATGTCATTGTTTCTAGACATTGTAAATTTTCTGGCTGCCTGCTATTTTTGTTTTCTATACACAGGTCTTCGAAGAGTATGGCGAGGAAATCTGTGCAAGCACCTCAGAGACTCTACCCTGAAATTTCACTGCCCCCAAATGATCCTATAGAGTTAGTATTATCGGATTAGTTCCTACGTGTGTGAAGCTGAAATGTGCCATCAATTCAACAACAACAGCTCATCACTGCCCACAGCTGGAATAATTCCTCTAAATAATCTTCACCCTTGGTAGTTGGTAGATTTTTTATGGGATAAACGGACGGATCACCTGATGGTAAACAGTCGGCGCCGCCCATGGACAGCCGAAACACCAGAGGCGTTACAAGTGCATAGCCAGCCTTTTGAGCATAATAATTTGAGGATTGGGGGTCATTGGGCCTCCGGTAGTAGGCTCAATCACACCACGAAACAAAGCTACGGTTGTTTCATGTCGGTTTTCTTTGAGGCCGTGATATCGTTTCGGTCGGGCCGGCCCTTAAGTGCCAAAGCATGACTCTCCCACATTAAATGTTTACAGTTTAAAAGTTGAGCTACCCGAGCTTTGTCAGATGTGTAACACCTTATAAAACTATTACAACACCCGCGGGAACAAAGGCAGTAGAAAAAGGAAGCAGCGTAGTAGCATTGTTTACAATTAGCTATTAATACAAAGTGTTTGATTAATGATTTCAGTATGGACTTGCCATCGGACTTTCCTGACATACCGACAGAAGTTAGACCGGTGAGCCAGACCCAGCTTCGGCGTTGGCACAAAAGGTTCAGAAGACTTATGAAGACAGCAGCTGCAGCAGCAGCAGCAGCAGCTCCTGTGACGGCTGCTCGTGCCGCTAGTGCATAATTCCATAAGTTTAATGTTTCGGAGGTAGATTATTTAGATTAATGTATTTAGCTATGTTTACTTGATTATTTTTACAATACAATACAATTATTAGATAGTTTTAAACTGCTTTAGTTACATCTTTGAGGTTTAATTAATTTACCTATTGTTTAACAGTATATCTATTATTTTACGTGTTTCTATTAATTTAATATTAATTTTAATTAAACTGTTTTCAATTACTGTCTTATTTTTGCATGGGAATCGCAATCCCATTATGATAACCAAACCAATAAAGTAAATATTTATAGTTTATTTGCACGTGCATTTCAATTTGAACAAAACGTTCGCACATCGTGTGGCCATTAAAACGTGGTTATTGTTTTCATTGCAATAACTAACAGCAAGTTAAGTAACAAATTGCTGAATCACAATCTGAATGAACAACTCCTTCCGCTCCATTTCCCTTTTATTTTCAAACTTCCAATCCAATGAATCGTGCGATTGAACCTATTACGAATAACTTTACCTATCTGTTCATGTGTGAACGGGAAAAATATTCACGATTCCTGGACGATTATTAAACCATGAATTATTTCCGAACGTTACTGTTTATTCAGGGGCTCGTTAGCTTTTTATTGAGTCTCTTCTATGTTTTGCTTTTAATTCTCGCTATTTTCATAACCCCCAATGAAATCGTACCATATTATATCGTACTATAGGTTAATACCTATAGTACGATATAATAAAGCCTAGAGCTGTTCTTTATGCTTCCTTTTTATCTTCATTTTTTTAATTGTTATAAGTTTTGTGTTGATCTTTATTTGAATACAAAATAGCTACAGATAGCAAATTACTCATTGCGTTCAAAATCTGTCAAAGACTCAGATTAAGCGGTGCCGCATGCCGTGCGAATAACTTTCAGATTGCCTCTTCACAAACCAAATCAAAACCCATCAATTACAAATTTCCCACAAGACGATCCATCCGTCGTAAATAATCCCCAAGATATTAGCATCAATGAGAACATAAGTGACACTTCACACCTTAAAATTTGCGTGTAATAAGGTACACGACGGCTATGTTTAGGCCGCCATGAATATTCATGCCACGATCGACGTACGCCTTCACTTTATTCCGTGTAAACACGCGTACGTGTCCTTTCGAGTTTGTCTTGTATTACACAAATAGATATCTACATCGTTCTTATAAATATCTACAATAATTACCTACAGATGTGGAAAGCGTTTGAGTATGTAAATTGTACACACAAACATGTGGGTGTTGTGAGATACTTTGCCTAGAACCTGGGTCCGCCCACATTGCTGGGATGGAAGAATCCTATGTATGTATCTATTTAATTCAGTTCACGGTCTATCGGTGTGCCTAATTTTGTTAGGATCCTTTCAATGGTATTGGAGTGAGAGTAACAAGCATTAATTTGTCCTTGCTAACTTTTACTTTTAATTGTAGGAAAGAAGTAAGTTAATTGTTATATTTTTCCGCTTACTTAATCGCGGAATAGTGCTCATGAATATGAACCTCCAGCATGGCTTGAAACTAGTCGAGTTCCTCGTCAAATAATTACGTGAGTACGTACAAATAAGCCGAAAAACATGATAATTAATTTAGTATGTCTCACGAAAGTTATAACATAAATAAATAAAAAAGTAAGTTAATGATGAAGTTTAAAATGATTTAATAAGTGATTTTTTAAAATACCTATATTTTCTAAATCAGTAGGTAACTAGGTACTATTTACTAGACTTACTGCTACTATCCCTATTAGTTCTATTTTAGTTACCTGACTAGCTTCGAGCCAAGACTTTTCACAAAGTATAAAACCACACATGTTATTGATTTACAAAACGTTTATTATCCCTCTGTTGTCCATAGAACAGCAATATTTACATGCGTCACATTTCATTTACAAGCAAACTTTGACTTAATTCTAAATCTATACAAAATCATCAGTTCTCACTACGAATAAGCTTACAAGAAATGTAAATAATAATTCAATAACCCCAGCATTTCGACAAACGTCAGTGAAGCATTTTCAAGTTTATGAGAAAAAAATAAGGTTGAAAATCGATCACCGGATTTGGACTGACATTTGTCGAGGTTTCCAAGGTTGGACTACTTTGGCGTTCTGAAAGTCGAATTAGACTTACAGCTATTTCATCTAGACTTTCTGTAATAGAATTTCAATTATAATGTTTCGTAATAAAGTCGAGAATCTACAGGCAATTTTGATACGCCATAATGATCACTTATTATGTCTTGATTTTCCGATGACCTAGGCATGCAGGCAGGCTACCTTTACCTTTTGTCTGGCAAGCCCTGCTCAGCTACCTACCTATCTCTATCCTAAACTGATGGAATGGATATGTAAAGCTGGAGGGTCCAGGGTATGTACTTATATTACTCAGTCCCTACCAGCACCATGCAACGTATCTTCAGACATAAAACGACTAGTAGACTTTACTTACAAGTACGGTACATAAATATAATCATTATTATGGTACGTCTACATCCGTCGAATGCACCTAGTGCAGTTGGCGAGCATCTCAAGCAGACTAACACTTTATGACTTTATCTTTCAATATTTATTTTTATTGGCATTCAAAAGTACCTTTAAATAAATGATTTTGGCTCTCAACAGCCACTTTTTCCTGAATCCTTAACGATCCTCAAACTCCTAATCCCCAAAAGGCCGGTAACGCACTTGTAACGCCTTTGGTGTTCCAGGTGTCCATGGGCGACACCGATTGCTTACCATCAGGTGATCAGTCTGCTCGTTTACCGGCTCATGCCATAAAAAAAAGCCATTCACAAGCAGCTCATAAATTGCCCACGTTGACTGAATTGACCACGTTATACATACACTTTTTTTAAGGGTGGTTAATCATCCCATTACTTCTCGCGCCCAGGTGATATGTGGTGACACACACTTTGCCCAAGCTTTTTGCAAGCGGTTTGGGACCAGCACATTCATCAGATATGGACGCACCATTAAACATCTCATTACTATCTATTACAATACGCCAGACAACAGACTTAGTACATTCTCATTTGTTTTTCCGTTGACTGTGTTTTTTCGTCAACTGTTTTTGGAATGATAAAAGCAATACACAGCAAACAAGCAGAGCATGGACATGTTTAAAATGAATATAATATTAGTTTTGCACACGACTTTTACGATTGCGTTTTAGTTTTTTTGTTCATCAATTGGCGCTAGTGTAGCTTTGAGTCGTATTGGAGATTAAGTTCATCATTACAAATAAAATACCTTATACTAACTTCTTCTTGACTTGTGGCAATGACTTCTGGCAATTCCAAATCATCTATTATGTACATCTAATGGTCTTCTAAATAGTTTTTACATTAATCGCAAGTTTCACATTTCAATAATTTAAACATGTCCACAAACTACGGTAGTAACAAATCTAGCAACACTTATCATAAATTTAGATAATTTAACTCGTCTTCTTATATTTTTCTGCTAAGTTAACCGAGCATAGCGTGGGGACTTGACTAACATTGAACGTTAAGAAATAATAATAATAACAAAGCCATACGTATATCACTCCTATCGAACAATATACGGATGTAAGCATCAGGGGCAAAAACGGCAACGTTTTGTCTAAGCCCCAGAGCGCATGAATAGCATTATCATAGACACAAAGTACTATTAAACCATATAAATATAAAGACTCTATTTGCCTCAACATTGGCAAGCGAAGCACTCTTATCCTCCTACCGCCTTTAACTTTCGCAGGCTCATATAAAGTTCTTACATTAACAAAAGCTAAAGCTACATGTGTCAACAATATGAAAAACTTAATAGAAAATAAATTCTTTGGATATAGCAGTGGGAATAAGGAATAGTTCCCGACTGTTGTTAGAATTAAAAACTGTTTGCCGTCGACGTCGCCCAGCACTGAAAGGAAACTGTAACAAAAAAGAGTTTAGTGATTTTAAATTTCTCTTAGGTTTTGTACTATTTTATTTTATTGTTATGGAAGTTTACTTCCAAATCTTTAATGGTAAAATTAATTAGGTTCTGTTTGGATATGTGCTTAATAAAAAAAAATATTCGCCATTGATTACACTTTTGATTAGCATAATTTTTGCAAATTATTACTTCATAATTATAATTTATTTTTAATAAAATGTTAACTTACGTCAACGGCACCAATATCATAAGTATGGCCTTTTCATGAACGTGCCAGCCGAACAAAAAGGAGCAAGCCGCACAGACCACCATACACCTGATTACACAAAAAAAAATATAATAGGAAATATTTATAAGTAATTATGTAAATTGAAATTATGTTAATTGAAGTGTTGTGCATACAATACACGTCAAAATGTCGTGGGCCAATCGTTGCATTAGCCCAATCACGATATCGTGATTTGAGCTCCCTATCGTGATGTGCCTATTGGACACGTGTTCGAAAGATCGGAAGGACTGACAAAAAGGAATTGCATAAGAAGAAATAAACTTTGTTTATCTACCAACATACCTTACAAAACTCAACACCCTGTATCTCCTGTCAGCGCACAAATGCCACAGTTTAATGAGCGCTGGTATCATCGTCACGACAGTTAGAACTATAGTCATGGTGGGAGTTATTGATGGCAACACCGCATGGTCGTATTGCTGCACCAGACCTCCTGTCATGGACGCCTCAGCTCTCGGGATCCGCAGTAATCCCAATTTTGTACCTAAAATGAAATATAAAAAATTCATCAAGGCTGATAAATTATAATAAAAAGTGATGCTTTGACAATTGAACTGTTTATTCTGTTGTCAACAGTCATGCTTTGCAAGTGAGACTGTTTAACAAGCAATCTGTGGTATAATTTCTGGATGTTAACCGGCCTATTCTATAAGAAAAAAATAAAATGGTTGGATTTTCCTTGTATTGTTTGGTTGTCATTTTTAATATCCTCTGTAATTTCCGAGTCTCAATTCTGTTTTTTAACTGATAAGAGTAGGCACCCATTTGTTAAAATTCTAACTAAAGTTTCTATTTTCCTTACCAATAGTTTGTAACACCTTATCAACAAAGTTGTATATCGCCCAAAAGTTCGGCGCCCAGTAGGCATGACATAATCCTCTTTTGAAGGGAAATAATCTTGATAGAATCTGAAGACAAAAATAACATTTAACAAAAATGCTAATAAAATATTTTAAATTATCATACCCAATTAAAAATAACTAAAAATACATATTACCTGTGGAATATGATAAATAAAAGGTCCAAATGAAAGTCCAAAGACAAAAATCACTGTGAATGCCAGTTTGAACAGATTTGTCAAAGAGAATGAGTACCAAGGAGTATGAACACCATCAACTGAAGATATTGTAAAGCAATATGCCCTGAATAAGTATACAATGTACACCGGGGCTACATATAAAAATATGTGCTTCAAATTCAACAGCACTGCAAACCAAAATGCTGCTATCAGACAATTATTCTGAAACAAACAAAACATTTGTAAATAGTGAAACACTTTAACTGTTCAATCTCCAAGTGGTTACCGGAAACCACTCTCCACTAACTCCATTATGGACCTTATCTCCGATGTTTAGAGACTATTTTTGTATGAGCAAATTTTCAGTATGATATATCAATGTATTAATTGAAGTTACTGAATTTTAAAGACAATTCACTTGACTAAATGACTATCAATATATTAATATTTTTTAAATCGAATCTGTAGAACTGCACAGATTGCCGTAGATATCCTGTAAATTAATGTATGTAATCTTAAAATAAATTTAGTTAAAGTAATAATAAAAAAATTGTTACTAATATCATAATGCAAAAGCATTCATTTGTCTTTCTTTAAGGCAACAATACGATGAATTTGAGTTATGATATTTGTGGCTGGAGAAGGTTAAGAACCTTGAAAGGGGTAAAGGCTACTTTATTTTAGAGACTATTGCAGTTTATATTAGTATAAGTTTTTGAAATAATACCTGTGTACTATTTCAAAAGTTATTACACTTGCTGAGTCGTAAAACTTTGTACTGCCTAAAAATATTTTTTCTTACATTAAACCTTCCCTGGACTTCCACAATTAGCCTTCAACATTAACATTTCAAGATTAAAATTAGCTGAATTGGTTCAGCGGTTCTCGAGTTTTAGTGGGAGTAACGAAGGGGAATCCATTTTTATTTATAGATTATACAAGATAACACTTACAAATGTCTCAACTTACTTCTATGATATGTGATATGGAGTATAAAAGGATTCCAAACAAGAATCCATTGTATTGGAAGTGTATGTGGTCTATCATCAATAGACCTGGACAGGACATCAGCAATATGAATACCAGAAGCTTTCCATCACCAATGAAACTGGACAACCTGTAAAATATTTAGAAGGTGTCTTAAAGTTTCAGCCTCAAAGTTTCATTGAAATCTTACGAGAAAGGTTTATATATAACAGATCTAAACGATAGTAAATCAAATTCCAGAACTATACTGACCTCTTCACACTGTAGACATATACAAAATCCAGAACAATAACTGACAACCTTTGAAATAGTATTGTCATATCAGATTTGTAGTTTAAATTAGTTAAGTACAGCATTTGCGGGTCAAAATATTTAGCAATAAAAGACATCACAAACTCCAGCCATGCAAAGAATGGTGGATAATCCAGGGTCCATTCTGATGTGTTGTCATAATACCATTTGTCTAATGTCAAGTTATGTGTGATTGCCAGCCAGTTTCGATGGACTTCAAAGTCTGTGGAGTGACTGAAAAATATTTGAACATTAACATTAATGATGACAATGATTTGTTTTTGTACTACTTCAATTTCAATAGTTTAGTTTCGAGGCTAGGCTCCACATAAGACAGTATTGAAGGGATTTTACACCGGATATGGACAACTTGATAATAAATTTTCGATAATCAACATTTAATTAAGATTATGAAAACTAGTAATTGAGCGGGAACTTCAATTGAAATGAGTATTTATACTTACTATAATGGAATAAAAAGTAATTTAACAGTTGTTACTATTACAACTATTTGAGAAATCATTGTAAACAAGCCGGTAGTCGTAATCACTTTTTCACGTGTATAGCTCAAACTTGTAACTTGATTTTATAGCGTAGTTATTTCATAAATGCACGTTTATTTTCTTAAGGATACTACACTACTACAGTACCAAGCAGTCGGAGTGTAAGTTCTTTTTACATTTCGATATTTCTTTACCATTCCAACAAATAAATGAGAATGAGTCCTACGATAATCACAACTTTTGTTGACGGTGTGACGTTTACCTGACGTTGACACGGAATGGTTGTTATCAAAATAATATTATTTTTACTCTAAGTATTTGAGTCATTGTATTTTATCCAGATCAAGTCATGAATATTATTAATAATATAATTAATAATATATATATATTATTATTTATAATATGCAAACGTGTACCTTATACAATGTAAGTCTGTGACAAGTTGGTATAATCGCAATTTTATTTAATTATACAAAAAATATAAACAAAAAGACTACAAGCACACACCGTCGATTAAATAGAAAAATGACGTAATTCAGAAAAGATAAGCATTTAATTTCACTAAAATTCGTTTGAATCGATATTACACTTGCAACATCTAGTAAACTTGGCGTACCCTGTAAGGTGTTGTAAAATTATCTTGTTAGTAGGCCGTTTTATGTAAGCGTTTAGGTAATGTTAATTCTCACTAAGACTCACCTATTACATGGGATTCATATTATAAATAGTGAAAAGTGGGTGTTACAATATAAAGTGGCATTAAGGCCCGTAATTTGCTCCTCTGCCTACCCCTTCGGGGTTAAAAGGCATGATGATATGTGTCTTATTCCCCCCCCCCCCTCCCATATCGACGTTGACAAAGCTAGGAGTTTAGGTTTTCGGTGAATACTATTAGGCATTACAACGAGCTTAACATATGCCAATTGAATAAATAGTTTAGGAATAACGGTCGATCAAAGTTACACCATTTTGTCACTCACTGACTCATTGACCGATCATTAAAAATCTGAGGTAGGTACTTCTAGCAGACTTACAAACTTCAAATTTTGCACCAAGACACACCAACATATGTCATTATTAGCCACATTTATAGGAAAAATTATAAAACAATTTTATATTTACGTTTGGCAAGAACATTGTGTATCGATTTTGACTGCATAAGGCGGCCAACCGTCCCGTAATGCTAGATGTAATCCCGCTTTGAAATAATTAATAAAATAGTCCCGTAAAACGTTAGATGCGTCTCGCAAGTCCCGCATACCTATTTCTCTACTACACGACACAACCACACGCGCACTAACAGCGCGAATAAATGTAGATAACTTGTTTGACGAAGTAAGTTATGTGTGTGAACGTGAACAATGATGTCCTAAAGGGCTAAAAGGAGAAAAAGTTCAGCACAGAACAACATTTTTTTTGTAGGAGGAATATCATCCAGTGTCTTCTTCCGCCTTGGATTGGGCGAGAGGCAGTAACAGACTCTTACTAACTAAAAACCACCCCGTTCCTACTCCTGCTTAGGCCTTCCGCGGCTCCGTATAGGGCAACAGTCAACAACACAAAAAGTCACGCATTGGACTTTCAGAAAGTTGGTCGCCTTATGACTGCATTGTTAACTTGTTTCGTTGTTTAATTATTCAATTGGAAGAATACATACCTATAATAGAAAATAATAATAATTATACATGTACACATACTAAAATTAATACATAAAGTTCATAATTCATTAAATTAATAAAGCTAAAACTCCATTGTATTGCGATAAATATTGTATGCGCGCTCGTTAGATGGCGTTGTAACGCCGTCTGAATCGCGCTATGGTTTAAATGGTTTCGTTCCAGAGCGCAGTCTAAGTAGTAGGTACTTTAAAATAATTCGATAATTTTCATTTGACAGCGCACAGAGTCCCAGGCTTATCTACCTAGGAAGAACGAAGCCTCAGAGAAGAAACAAGAGATAGAGAATGGGTTCTAAGCAAAGCAGTAGCTGAAATCCAAGACATTAGATATGAGGTCACCTAAAAAAATTAAGAAAATAGAAATACCTACACTTACAAAAAATAAATGAGATCCCACCAAAAACAATGAATGTAAAAAAAGCCAAATCTCTCGATACAGTCTTTCCATCGTAAAAATTTTGAGACCTCATAGAAGCCTTCTATTCTATTCTCCTATTCAAATGATTTTGTAGTTATAAATCAACTTTTAGTAATTTTACCTTTATAATTTTAAATAGTTTTATATTATATTTATAGTGATTTTTACACGTAAAAACACTGCAATCCGGCATTGTTCACGGAAATTATTAACGTAGGTACCGCCTTATTGTCATTTTGGTGAATGGCCTCCTCTTTACAGTATTCATATTCTGTGGGGAGAACTTGGGGAATGAATGAATGCCTTCTCTGTTAAGTATTACCTCTTTAGGAACGCCTGACATGGCCTGCTGACAATAGCTGCTCAGACTGGTTAGATGAAGTGGATGATCAGATCAATGGATGATTCAGTCCCAAGTCGTTGGCTGAATACTCAAATGAATACTCACCGCGTCGAACACTAGCCAAACTGTACATTACAATTAAAAAAAAAGGTGTTGTCTTCAATTATGCAGAATTAAAAACTACACTTTTTTCATTGTAGTTTAACCCATAGGTATTAATAAAATTGTGGATGATGAGGCCTTCCAAGGCATGCTACACTGGTGTTCCATCTATCAAATAATACATAAAAGAATATTAAACTGTCAAACACCAAGCGGTCACCGGTGACCGCAACCTATTGTTCTATAATTGTATCTACAAAACTGGTACTCGACGAGTTAATTATGTACAAGCAGTACTGTACTGCTGTGTTGAGCTTAAGGGTATAATAAAAGGCAATGCAATAATATGAAAATATAAAATATTTATTATTATTTTATTTTACATAATTTCAATTTAGATATAGAAGAAAACAAAAGAAATTAGAGAGAATAAAAAGAGAGGTAGATTAGGAAAGCACAAAACATACAACATAAAATAAAAATCATCAATAGTTATCTGAAAGGAATCAGCATCCGTCTTACTTATGTGAGGTAGGTACCCCACGGAAATATTAAAAATATGTAATAGCAATCTAAACATAACAATCAAGTACTTAACAATGTCAGTATATATATTTATACCACAGAGGTATTTTGCTTAGACTATCTGTTAAATTTGAAACAACATTTTAGTCATCATTCAGTCCAAATAAATCATTAAATATTTGATTTAAGCCAAGTTCAGTCATTAACTTTGACAGTTCACTCATGTTGGAATGCTTATTATGTCCTGGATTTACAAGACAGAGTTCTTCAAAGCTTGAAAACTTTTTGAAAGATTTTTCCTCACTAGGCTCAAATATTTCAGTCCTTCGAATCATTATTTTCTTCCAAGTCATTGACTTAATATCTTTCCACCACTCTTTACAATCACTGTGATGGCCCTCAATACAAACAATTCCAGGTTTTCCCGCCAAAAGAAATCCTGTTAACTTCAGTTCCCTTGCTTTTTTGACAATTTCTTCCCTTTTCTTTTTATTATAAATGTGATGAGAATAAATCCAAAGCCTCGCAAATTCATCCTTAGATTCTTGACAATACTTTGTTTCTAATAAATTGCTTTCTTCTGATATCACTGCAAATTTATCAACATTTTCTTGTAACCATGAAATTGCTGTGTAGAGGCACACTTCTCCTATATGATTTTCTTTTAGATACTGTGAAAGCTTTGAATTTAAAGCTGATTCGTTTTGTCGATTCATTTTATTACATCTCACATATATGTCTGGTTCCTCTTTTGGGTAAGAGCTAGGTAAATTTATGAAAATTTCTAACTTGAGTCCATCTACAACTAGGTTTAATTTGAAATCTAGGTGTGGAGGAACATAATCTGATTTATTTTCAACAAAGCTCCTTATTTCATTTATAGTATCTTTATCACTTAAAGTAATTTCTCCTTGATTTGGGTACATTGATTTTAGTAACTCATATTCATCAAGTTGTTGTGATAAGCAATCAATATCAACTTCTCTCATAGTATTTTTTGGAATCACAGCCATATTTTGCACCTAAAAGTTGGAGAGTTCTAGACTCTAAGTAATGGTAAATGGGCAAGATTAGAGAGTGCTTAACTACCCGACAACACTTTATCAATCAGGAAAGTCATTGTTTATATTCCAAAGAGTATATTATGTATTATATTCGGAGAAACAACGATAGCCACAACAAAACAACAATGTTACAATGACGAATGAACTACCAGGAGTCCAGAACATATCAACACAACTCCCCAGTTCACAACTTAGTACTTCACGTCACAATAACCACAAGTGATAAGTTATCAACTGACAGATTCCTTTGAGAATTTTGACACAGAGATCTGTCAAAACTCAAACACGATTTATTGTCAAATAGCAAATAATAAGAAAACAAAAAAAAGAAAAAAATTATAAAATGACGGTTATTACATACATTTTTTTAAAGGGGGGAAAGTCATCGTATGACTCCTCCCGCCCCGGCGAAGCGTGAGGGGAGTGTCAGACTCTTACTGACTAAAAACCACCCTGTTCCTTGTCCTGCATTTCGAACTCCGGTTCGAAATGCAGGACCGGTAACCCGTTAGGTTCTCCGCGACTTCGAATCAGTATCAGCCCTGTTGGGCTCCATCCGTGGTGGTCTGGATGGATGGCTCTTTAAGGCGCACGCTGAACGCGATGCGCCGTACGCTCGGGTCTGGTTCTGGTCGGACGGTGAGCCACCCATGCTCGCCGTCCGCAGGCCCGCACTTACGGTGGCCGGAGATCGTCTCGCGATCCCCGACGCTCGGAGTGTCCTTCACGATGGCTGGGTTGTGAGGAGGCAGCGCTTCGCTATTTCATGCGTCCCGCCTCCCCCTCAGCTAGCGTGACTGCTTCGCAAAAGGAGTAGACGGCATCCCAGTCCCCCTCGCTCCGCATCATGACCCTCACTAGTGCTGGACGCGAGAGGTCGCTATCGGCGATCACTTCCCTGAGGGCGCGGCGGTGCTCAGCCCACGCAAGGCATTCCGCTACAGTGTTCTACCGTGTCCTCAGGGTTATTAATTACATACATACGATATTTTTTTATAGAGTCAAAATAAAATAATTTGTGGTTGTAGAATCTGTAACCGACAAAAACTGTCAAATTGTCAATGTCAAATAAAATTATTGTTTACAATATTTTGATTTTGAAGCGCAACTCGAACTTTTTTGTAGTACGAAATGTTTTAGACAATAAAGTAAGTTTTCTAGAGATAGGGATACCACGTACTTGTAGAACCTAGGTATATTCGTCCATTAAAATTGATAAAAAATGTATCATTGTGGAATGCGGCAAGTGGGCGAAAGACATGTTGCATATAAAGTTAATTTGATGGTATGGAGTAACCGGCTTGATCTCCTGGCGCTAAGCAATTTTAAAGGTAAAATAATAGGTATTTTTAATTTACCCCCTCCGTAAGGATACTGAGCGATTAACAAGTATTGCGATAATGTTATGAGAATGTTCTACTAATAATTATAGATGACATAGACTAACCACAATCGTATCCACTGAAATGACTAAGTACCTATAAGGGCCATATATATCGTAATACTATGTAATGTTAATTTCAGGTGAAGTCCAAATTCATAGACTCCATTGGCAAAAAGTATGGAACTTTGCACCTCCCAAGGAAAATGTTACAGTTTGTGCCATGGCTTGGAGGCCTGATGGAAAGGTATTTTTTGTAACTACAGTGTAATATATTTTGCCTTCTATTCAGATTAAATTTATCATCAAAATCATTACCTGACGATCTGCAATGCTGAAAAAGGGGCTCATAATTGTAAAATTCATGATCGTGAATACATTTCTAAACTAGTTACTTCATAATATTCTATCATCTGAGTTATGAAATTTTCTCAACTTCTCAGGCTTTAGCAATTGGATATAGTTCAGGAGCTGTGTTCATTGTGGATATAGAAGACAAGGAAATCTTAGACAGATATGATCTGGAGCAAGAGAACCCTGATGAATTTGACACCAACAGATTTGGTATTACATGCATTACCTGGGCTGTGAGGTCTGACACACTGGAGAGTGCTACTGATCCTAATATTTATGTATGTAATCTCTTCATCACACTTGAGTACTTTAAATAATAAGTATGATTTTATTATAACTACTTGTTAACTATCCTAACATCCCTTACTTTTCAGGATGATTCTACAATATTTTTACAAAACTTACCATCTTCTAATGGTAACAGCCAAGGGACTGATGAAAATATCAAAGATTACAAAGAATTTGTTCCTCCAAATCAGTTGAATATGCTAATGGTGGGCTATGGAACAGGATACATTTACCTGAACATCTTTGGGCGGTATCCCTTCGGAACCATTCATCTTGCACAGGTTGCTAAAGATGATTTTGGAGAGTACAAAGTACTTGATATTTGTATGTCAGATGACTTCAGTATGATGCAAGTCCTCTATCTGGATAGGATGACTAGCCACCTTTATGTTTCACTCATAAACACCAGTGTACTGTCAGCTTTTGCTGAAGAAGTGTATATTGTAGCTAAGAAACATGGTGATATTGTTAAAATGATATCATATCTTGATCAAACTATGAATTCAATTACTGAAGCTTGGGAACATATTTTGTTGGAAATGGATACAAAAATGGCTGAGTATGCTGCATCGGTCCCCGAGGGTGGAGTTTCAGCTGATTTGTTGGAACTACTCATGTTAGGTGTGTATCTAGGTTCAAACAAATAAATATTCATTAATATTAAAATAGTATCAGTACTAAAATCAATATTGTCTTCTTACAGGGACTCCATCAGATGAACTAGAATTATGTTTACTGCAAAAGTTAACAGTAAATGATTTGAAGAAGTTTGGTAACTCCATAGAATTAAGTTATTCAACAATACAGAAATTGGTCCTCAAGCAGTTGAATATAGTGGGACAGAATTTAACATATTACCTTTCTGAACTAAGGGGACTCACAAGGATACCAGATAGATACCAGGTAGGACTTTGGCATAATTTTAAAATTACTTATTGTTATAAAAATTGTTATTAAATTTCAAAATTTTTTGCAGATTCTGGGTATAGAAGAATCTACAGTAACTGAAGCAATAAGAGCCTGCTGCGCTTTTCTAAATAAATGCCTAGAATTACAACAGGTCATAGACACATCAATGCGCAACTACAAAGCATTTTTCAGATGGCTTTTTGTGGTTATTGTCAGACTGCTAGGTGAACAAACTCCAAGTGAAATAGTCAAGATTACTCAACAGGAACTTGGTCACATTGCAGAATTCTTATACAACTTTGACAATGTACAAGTTGAAAGTGCTGAAACATTGCCAGATAAACCTGTAAAGTTCAACCTTGAGAGGTTGGGTCAGTATTTGGAGGACCAGGAGCTAACAATACTGCCTGAAGAAGAAGACAATCCATGGCGCAAGTTTCTTAAAGACAATTCCTGTCTGCTAAAAGATAATGATACAATATTTTCGTTAGCAGAATTTAAAAAGTTCTCTCTTGTTCAACAGCAACAGCATTTAAAATCAACAGTTGGTCAAGTGTTTGATATTTCGAAAAAAGAAACTGGCAGATACATGTCTCCTATATTCAATATCAAATGTTACGAAGACAAATCTGATGGGAAACTAAGTGAAAACTTGAAAATTTGCCAAGCCTATTATGATTCTGAAAGTAGCTTTGTGACAGCATTTGTAGATTCTAATAATGTGAATGATGGAATACATTTTATGTCTATAAAGATAAAAGATAAGGCATGCTCAGTGACTGCAATGAAATACACTTTTTCGACTATGATCTTAGGAGATAAAAATCCTAATGATGAGCTTTTATCAGTAATGGATTTGCAATTCTATTCTCCTGAATATCTATCAGTCTTGACATCACATCCCCACAATGAAGAAAGCTCTATATTCATTCAATTGCCGTTAGGAATCATTCAGGTGAATGCTCCTGAATGTGCATTAAAACCAAAACTATTTTTGTTTAATGAAAAAGTTAATAAGAAGAACATTTCAACTTTGATTGAATCAGGTGTTTTTAAAGTGTTAGATAAAATGGATGGGTTTCGGATAGCAGTCTCAGGAGGCCGCAAAGTGGCTGTTGTTCTTTCTAAAAGTTATAGGAAAGTGAGAGTGTTTGAGATGGAGATTGATGGAGATGATGAAGAGGATGAAACACTGGACACTACAACACAGTCACAAAGTACTAATGACCAGTCCACAATATCTGAAAAACAAAATACAAGCACTACAGCAACTGATGTTACTTTCTTAAAAGTATTTTAAAGTTAAGCCATCATTATTATGTTTTTAGAATAAGTAAATAAATGCAATTATAAACTAAAATAAAAACATTTTATTTCACAGTATACTCTTACTATTAACTAGATTACATCTTAATTACATTAATGAGATTTTTTTTACTGAAAACATTTAACAAAGTTGTTTTTCTACATTACCATTGAATTAGTTTTATCACAAGTATGAAAGTAAAAGATATTTTATTTATTTTTATAACTAAATCAGACTTGCATTTGGAGACTTAATTTGTATATTTTCGAACACTGAATTAAAGTCTGTATCTAAACCTTGATTGTCTATTCCATACAGTAGATGTTCAGACGATTGATTCCTACTTGGACCTGCGACTGGCTGGCTAAGTTGTCTTGGTGGTTGTGGTTGTGTCGGGGTTGTGGTACGGTTGTATATCTCGTCTCCTTCACCATCATCATCCTCTACTTCATCCACTGTAAATTTAATTTACAGAGTTAAAAATACAAACTTAAAATATAAATCTTTTTGAGATGACTTCATGTTTTTAGTAGTAGAGTACAAGAGTCTTACCTGGCACAATACCTCTACCCTCATATCTTTTCCAATCTTTTCTCAAGTTATAGTAAAGAACAGCACAGCCAATAATCACAATGATAGACACAATAATTGCAATTAGCTTCACTGCATCTATAGCCGTAAATGCTGAACCACTGACTATCATATCAACCTGCCCCACAGTGTAACCAATCCCATTGACTTTCTTTGAAATACAGTGGTAGTACCCAGAATCTCTCGTAGACACATCCTAAAAACAATTACGTAATTATTAGCAACAAAATAAACAAAAAATGACAATAATATTTATGATCATCTAAATTTATCCCTTGACATTGGTTAACCTTGAGAAGTTATGTTAATATATTAGTTTGTTTGCTTACATGAATGTGCAGTTTCCCAGAGAGTACTTCATACTTATATTTCTGTTCGTTGTACACATTGCCAGGACCAATTACGTCTGTGCCATTGAATAGCCAGAACATAAAGTTGTGGTCCACATCATTGCTGTGACAATTTAGAACTGCAGTACTACCAGCTGGAATCTCAGTCACAGTTAGCTGTTTTATCTCAGGAATACTATTTCGCATTGAATGCATCTTGAAATTGGTCTCTTCTGGTTAAACCTCCAAAGGAATTATTATATCACCAAATATTTCAACGCAGCCACAAATGATTTGACATGTGCAAACATACTCAGTCTCAATGAATGTGTGCCAAGTTTAAAATTATCTACATCACTCCTTGTCACATGCTTCACCTTCAGTTGAGTTAATATAGTCCAAAATAGCAGAAAACTAGTGTTTTCATAGTTTATAGGTACACATTTTAGTATCTACTGCTTCCACTTGAATGTTTTATTAAATGCATGAAAACTTCGACACAAAGCACCGGTAGTAACATCCAAATAGGAGTCATAACAACGTATATTGGCAGGTTTACTCTGGTGTATTCTAATTTGATGCATATGATAATTTGTGCAGCCATTTTTAAACCTATTGCAGCTATATACCACACATTTTTGTTTATAGTCCCTCTAAATCTTTCTATACCGTTCCTACAGTGTGAGATCATATGAAATAATACGTATATTAATAAAATACTATCATAAACCCACATTGGTATGAAAACAATAAACCAATTCCAATGAGTCCTCGATTCTAGTCTCAGACATAGTAATATTAAAAATACTAGGAAAATAAACCACGTAAATAGAGCTCTATGTAAAATAGCCATTATTTTAAAACTCAAATTCTTAACTAAAAATAGAAACTTCTATAATAGGTCAAAAATTCTGGAAAGCAAATCGATCGTTCTCGTTGACAAGACAAATTGACATTATTGACAATTGACATTGACAATACGTCAAACGAATGACACTACTGAGACCACAGACTACACCACTGTATTTTTTCGTTGGGTCTTGGTTTCGTTATACCCTGTTTAACCCAGATAAGCCTGAAACTAAAATTTTCTGAAAATTTTGAAAAAAGTTACATTATTTAGTTTATTAGATCTTATGCAACATAAAAAAAATTATGAAAAAAAAATTTAGTGTAAGGCTTTCAGGGAAACAGCCGTCCTATATGTAGGACAGTAGGATAATAAGAGGAAATAAAAGACCATTTATGACAAAACAGAATGTAATCAAAAAGTGTAGTTTATTAGATAACTATTGATTATATTACCCATTGTTATATGTAATTTACTAGATTAACACTATTTATGAATGATATGTTTCAAAACACTTGACACACACTCCAACATCACATTTCTTGCAACGTGTCAAACATTTTTTGTGACATTGACGACAGCGTGTTTGCTTCGATTGAGGAATAACCAGATGATTCATTTGGTTTTTACGACTATCAGCATGTTCATGATGGGAGGGTCGGCTAGGCCCTCTTTTGGCATTTTTTCTGTTTGATTCAATCAAAGCAATTGCTACCCTTCTGCGAAAGCCAAGATGATCCAGTTTTCCATGATTTATTTTATATAACTGCCATGCATTATGTTCGGCAAGATCAATCATGTGTGTGAGCAACGGCATGTACCATTTCTTACCTCGTATACCAATTCGGTAATGTGAAATATTTTCATCAGACCGATCCACTCCTCCCATATATTTGTTATAGATGGACACCATATGTGGTTCTTATATGACAATGTTTCTCTTTTCACTTTGTGAGAAGCGTTTGGCAGATTGTTTAGGATTTATTCCTACAGCATTAGAAGCAATACTGAATATATTATTGTCATGCCATTTAGCAATAATGAACGTGTTGTCATGTGTCGTTCGGTAATCGACAGCACCACGTTCCTTTTTTTTCAGTAACTTCGATGTAATCAGAGGACAACTAGATGTCCTGTTTTCTCGAAATGTCCCAGTGCAACGAAGGCCTTTCTTTGTTATCTCTTCCAGCAAGGGCGTCCCAGTAAAAAAATTATCAAAAACTACGTGGTAAGGAAGGTCGAAGCCACGTGAAATCAGCACATCACAAAAAGTGAGAACAACGCTTGCACCCAGCCCCAATTCTTTATATATTGGATTGCACATAGTTGTAGCACCTTGGTATGGTTCCATCCATAAAACATACCCTAACCGTGTAGCACCAACCCAAGCTTTGAACCCGTACCTAATAGGTTTACCTTTTATGTGCTGTTTGCAGCCATGTCTACCATAGTAGGGGATCATGGCCTCATCTACACTGTAATGCTCTTCAAGAGGAGAAAACTCTAAGAACTTTTTATTTAGAAGTGTAACTAGGGGGCGTACTTTTGTGTATTTATCTTGCAAATCCAGATTATCATTGACATTAAGGTGGCGAAAAATAAAGTCAAATCTATCCCTAGTCATAGCCGAGCTGATCAATTCATTCTTTGTATCAGGGGAGTTTTCCCAATACATTCTTCTACGGGGGAGCCATGAATAACCACTAACCAACAATATGCCGATGAGACATTTCATATCTTCAGTGGTTATGTCTCCAGGCAAATTCTTTTTGACAGCATATTTATTGCTCTCTGACACCAACAACGAAATAATATCTTCATCTAAGAAGTTTTCAAACCACTCAATTGGGCGCTTATCTTGGCAAGCGCCTTGAACATCTGGCTAATTCACGGGATTTTTTGCCAAGTCCCGTTTTCTCCATGCGTAGGTACGCCTACGTTTAGTTCGACCTGTAGAATCAGAAGGTTCTTCTTCTGTATCACTCACCATAATCTGCCCTTGAATCATTACTTCAGCCGGTTGAAGCAGAATGTTTCGTGGCAAATTATTCAAAGTTACATTATCTTCTTCACCCGAATCTTCGTCAGTGAGACAGTCAGGATCAACAGGAGGAGGTAGAATACATATCAGTCGTTCTCTATAATCTTCTTCATTATCAGAAACATATTCTAAAGCATCTAAAATTTCATGCGCAGCTAACGGTCTGTAAAGAAAAAGTTGTATAATTGTACTAAAATCATGTATATTATCCTACTGTCCTATATATAGTACGCTAGTATTTGTAACAAGCTATACGTAATCTATTTATATTATTTTGCTAGAATATTTATTTAGTACAAAAGTTAAGGTTATCAACTAGATATTAACACAGAAGAAAACAACTCACGAGTAAAATATAACTTTTTATACATACCTGTCATTTGCCATGTCTGCAACGCACTTTTATTACACACTTATAAGGTTAAATATAAGGTAAAAACTGTTAAAATAACTGTCTTTTTACCCGACTGCCAAAGAAGGAGGGTAATGTTTTTATTTTTTCTAATTAAGCTGACACGTTTCTTACTGCAAATCATAGCACTAAATAATCTTAGATAAAGAGGGTATTCTGATTTTTTTTCTATTTCTACTGTCCTAAATATAGGACAGTAGGCTTATCTAATAAAAAACGTTTGAATTATGAATCTGGTAACACAAACCTGAACAGCTCATTTTTGAGTTTGACGTCTGACTATTAATTGACTTTGACATTAATTTTTAATGGAAATCCTGCTATCGCGGTGTGTCTGTGTTTTTCTATAAATTGCATTGAAATATCTTCAATATTATAATATCTATTTAGCGCTTAATATCGTGCCATAATTTAACACCGGCTAAGATGGCTTCTCCTTTAGAACAGTTCGTGGATAATGTTAGGACTATGTCGGCATCAGGTAATTTGATTTTGCAAACTTGTTTTGATAATCTAAATGTTGAATTTGTATACAATATCAAAATTTATTCAATGTTTACAGGTTCCTTTCGTGAGTTGTGCGAAGTTATAGGAAAGTCTGATGAAGTTTTACAAAGAAACACTGCACATCTTTCAACAGTTTTGGAGACTCTTGATATTCAGCAACATTCTCTAGGAGTCCTAGCAGTCCTCGTCGCGAAATTCTCACTCCAACAGGTATCCCATTATTGTTACAATTTGCTGCTAAATAAGTTTATTGTGCTATAATTATTGGACTTGTAACAAAATTCTTATTTCCATTCAGGGTGGTGATGTAGATAAATCAACAATGTTCAAACAGATTCATGATTTTATAACCAACTGCAATGGAGAGCAAGTAAGATTTTCACCAGAATTATGTATGTACCTTTAATTTTATTATATCTTCTAATTATTTAATACTTACGAAGCTACTCTTAACTTTAACAAATAACTTTCAGATGCAGAGCTGTGTCATCAGTTAACAAATTACTTGGTTGAAATAAAGCAACCAATCAGAGGAATTGAAATCTTGAAGAAAGCTATTAGAAAGATACAGCTCTTTGATTCACAGCTAACATCAATTCATGCAGATCTTTGCCAACTCTGCTTACTCTCAAAATGCTTGAAACCTGCTTTAGAGTTCTTAGATACTGATGTTACTGGTATTGGATCGGAGGTAAATCTTTATAAGAATATTATTTGATATATGATAAAATACATACATAACATATCGTCACACCTTTTATCCCTGAAGGGGTAGGCAGAGGTGCACATTGTACAATGTAACATCCACTTTTCAATATTTATGTCATGTAATAAAGGGTGAGTCTATTGCCATATACCAGGCACAATTCCAGACTCCATGCTGCTATTGAGATTTTTACAAAACCCAGTAATACTTCACCTAACCTGGGATTCAATTCCGAGACCACTTGCCTGGCATTCGCACTTGCGACCACTCTGCCAATCAGGCAGTATAAAAAAAATTATAATACATTTATGAATAGACTTATTGAATTCCTACTGCAAATGGACTACCAATAAATCAGAAATAAGACTGTTATTACTTATTAGAATATCTTGTTGACTAATAAGTATACTTCTCATGTAAAAATACTATTCATTATTATTTCACTGAAATAAAAAAATAATAGCAATGTAATCTATTATTATTTTCCAGCTTGGTGGTAACAATGACTCGAAACATTTCCTTCTGTACTACTACTATGGAGGCATGATCTACACTGCAATGAAGAACTATGATAGAGCTTTGTACTTCTTTGAAGTAGTGGTCACAGTACCCGCAATGGTGGTCTCTCACATCATGTTGGAAGCTTACAAGAAATACATATTGGTCTCATTTATTCTACATGGAAAGGTAGATTTATTCTCATATTCTATCTTATTTCTGGTATTTACTTGCTTGATGCGTAAGAATCCTCAGAAATGGTTCTGATTCCTACCTCCTATAGATTGTTAGTAAAAATGGGCTATCTGGAGAGATTACAATCAACAAGTCACAAAATAATGACCAGGTATGACAATCATGGTTGACGACTCCAAAAGGTACTACTGAGATTTTTTTAAAACCCAGTAATACTTTGACCGACCCGGTAATGGAGACCTTTTGCCTGGCAGTCGCACTTGCAACCACTCGGTCAATGAGGCAGTCTAACTTTAGAATGTTATAAAATCATGACACCATACAAAAATGTATAATATCAAAATTTCTTTCAGATCTTACCAATGCCAAAGTATGCCTCACAAGTAGTGTGCCGCTTTCTGAAGCCTCTATCAGCAGCATACCATGAGCTGGCTACCTCCCAGCATGCTGCTATCAAACATCGCGATACATTCATCAGGGACAAAAATATGGGTCTAGTGAACCAAGTAAGATGTTGCTTTATATTCATTATACTAGTTCATCATAAATAATATTACTGTTTCAATGGCAACTGCATCTGCATGGATTAAAACCATAGTCAATTATGTGCCTAACCCTTCAGGCATCACACTATTTACAAAAATCCATCAGGAAGTATGCATTTAGTAGTATGCAGGTAGTATGTATGTTATATAATCTAACCAAATAATATAAAAAAAGTTGATTATAACCAATTTGAAAATGTGATCCAATAAAGACCAGAATGTTATAAATTGACTATTGACCGGCCGGCAACGCACCTGTGACTCTTCTGGTGTTGCGGGTGTCCATGGGCGGCGCTGATTGCTTACCATCAGGTGATCCGTCTGCTCGTTTGCCTCCTATTCCATAAAAAAAAATTGACAACTTTATGACTTTATATTGTAGTTAAAGTGAATGTTACTTTCAGGTGTTAAGTTCTATGTACAAAAAGAACATTCAAAGGCTGACTAAAACATTTTTAACACTTTCGCTGAGTGATGTCGCGGCTCGAGTGCAGCTCACTGGACCATCACAAGCTGAAAGTTACATTCTTAACATGGTAAATATTACATCTTTATGGCCTACTATGTCGCCAGTTTAATTAAGAAAAGGTGATAATGTTAATTAACTACACTTCTTAACAATGTAAAAAATGTTACTCTGATGTATTTTACTTCATTAAATATGTACTGATAAACAACAATGTAAAAGCGATATATTAATCATCATTAAATAACATTTAATTAATACTATGTGATTTTCTTCTGCAGATTGAAGAAGGTGAAATATATGCAATGATTAATCAAAAAGATGGAATGGTGGTCTTCTTGGACAGTCCGGAGAAATACGCGTCGCCTGAAACTTTATGTGTGCTAGAACAACAAATGGCTGCTTGCACAAAACTGCACCAGTATATTCAAGAGATGGATGAACAAATACAAGTCAATCCTCAGGTACTTACTAAGTTATTCTGATAACTAAAATGAAGAGTGGAGAATTATTCTACAATGTTGTCAACAGACTGTACCTATAGTAGTAGGGGAGCCCACGATGCTAAATTGGGATTTACTTGAGTGTCCTTGGGACCTACTGGTTTTTGAAGATATGCTGATAGAAAGAAGAAATGGTTTAGTGACAATTTCTTCCACCAGTGGGGGAAGGGGGAATCTACAGATCTTTGAAATTGTTAAGCGTAACTTTTGTTCTAATAGTCGAGCGTGTCAGATATTGATAATGTACATGCTCCATGTGTATTTAATAATAAAAAACTCTTAATCTGCCAGTTTGCATGGTGGGGTTGAATGTTCTGGAGAGTACAAACGAGAACCCTTCAAAATCCCCCCACAATTGCAAATCAAGTTGGAATGGGCAGATTTTTTTAACGCACTTCCTTTAGCACGGTATTGACCTACCTTCCCTTAATCTGACGAAACTGACTTTATTTAGTCAGACTTTTTTTTTAATTTTCAGTCCCCCCCTTCTAATCAGATCGGATATATGTTGGGTATATTCAACATGACACTAGGTTTTCCCCATATGTTAATCTGACGCGCTCGAGTAACTACCGAAATCCCTTCATGGGCTCCCCTACTATAGTTATTTTCATAAATCACTATATAAATAATTCTATTTCTATTTCAGTACATTAAGAAATCAGTAGGCAGCCACGATGAAGACATACCAGCCACCAGTCAGAATTCTAAAACCACTTATTCTATGTAAACTTATTTATAGATACTCATTTTTTAATAAATAGCTTTTTAATTAAAACACGATATTATAGTTCCATTACAATACCTACATCCCTATCCCAGTTTATTCCACAACAGACATAAAAATTATATATTTAAAAAACAACAGACAACAAAGATGGAATATATAAAGCATAAAATCTTAACAAAATATTTACAAAGCTTCATGAACTGCTTCTGTGAATGCTTTCATACTTTCCAAAGGTGTTTGTGGTGTGATCCCATGTCCCAAATTGGCAATGTATCGTTTTTTACCAAACTTTTGGACCATCTCTATTGTCATTTTAGTGATTTCCTCCTGTGAAACAAAAAAGTAATAAAAACAAATTGACCTATACATTTCTAATTGTAAAAGAGTGGCAGAGCCATGCTTCGGCACGAATGGGCCGGCTCGAAGGAGTGATACCACAGCCTCACAGAAAACTGACGTGAAGCAACGTTTGCGTTGTGTTTCGTCATGTGAGGTTACCGGAGACCCAATTACCCTCCCCTTCCCCAATCTCCCCAATCCCTGAATCCCCAACAATCCTCAAACTAATAATCCCCAAAAGGCCGGTAACGCACTTGCAACACCTCTGGTGTTCCAGGTGTCCATGGGCGACTGTGATTGCTTACCATCAGGTGATCCATCTGCTTGTCTACCGCTTATGCCATAAAAAAATAAATAAACTATTACATACTGGAGTCTTATACAAATCCTGTGGATCAAGATTGCCTTGTAGAGTGATATTATCACCAACAATCTTTCTTGCTTCTTCTGGGTCTACTGTCCAGTCTAAACCAACAGTCTCATATCCTAATCCAGTCTGAACATCAAGGTATGGTCCACCACCTTTAGCAAATACAGTCTGTAAACAGAATAAATCAAGTTACAAATTGAAACAGGAGTGTAGTATTGTCTTGATACAAAATAAAAATATGAACATTATTCCCGAGCACTTTCCCAATAAAGTCTTTTCTCCATGACGGAGGAACATATAATTCAAAGAACAGCTGTTTTCATTATCATAAACATTTTTTTACCCGACTGCCAAAGAAGAAGAAGGAGGGTAATGTTTTTAAAATTATATGTTGATCTGCAATCAGTCGCCAGGAATTTCAATATATAAAATACACGATTTTAACGCTATTTTATTTCTGATGCTTACCATAGGAACTTGCTCCAGATTTTTCTCCGAGATCTTATTTTTGACACCACTTCTAATATCTTTTAAATAAGGTGCAGAAAACTCAGTGAACTGCTCTCTATTTAGATGATCAGCACTTGATTCAAATACTTGCAGTAATTGAGCTCCACTCTCCACCTGTGAGATTGTAAGTTAATGTAAAATTTCCACCTGTATAAATAGTATTACCGAGTTCAGTAATTAGCCTTGAATTTTTGAGACTGAAGTTAAAAAAAGTTTAGCAATGAACTGATACAGAATGACCTTATCATAGAGGTCATTTTTGTAAACATTAGAATTTATTGGGGTAAGTAAATTTATTTTTATGGTGAGATATGATCACCAATATTACAATGTACAACTACTTTTTTAACTCAAGAACAACTTTTATGTTCAAAATTAGATTAACTTTACCTGCATAATTAAATAGTCAATAATAACTCTAGTAAGTAGACTGAGCAGTTTGTGAACATCCTTTGGGTATTTTTCTAACCATTCCTTAGTCTTAGACATTGTCTTGCTTCCACCACCTTCAATCATGTACCCCATTAGTGTGAACTGAAATATTCAAAACAATTTGTTTTAGTTATTAATTGTGAAGAAACACTTATCATGATAATATTGACACAAATTATTAATAGAAATTTTATAAGTGTAAACAGATAATACAACTTTGTAGTAGAATTATCATGATGACTTGATGTTTTTTTATTATTTTCAACACATAGTATATAACTATTTTAAGAACTTACTGGAGCTCCAGTGAAACCAATCAGAGGTACTTTGCCGTCAATCCTGTGCCTAGTTAATGTAATGGCTTTACCAACATATAGTAGTCGATCGACGGCACCTTCTTCTTTTAAGTTATCAATTTCTGAGGGATCTTGAAGTGGACTAGGAAATACAGGGCCCTGAAATATCAAATAATTTGTTGAGAAGGTTTTATTTATTTCACTGACTATTATTAATCTTAATCAAAGACTCAACAAAGTATACTTACAACACCCGGGTGCATTTCTACTATCATTCCTAGTGCTTGTGGAATAACAAGAATGTCACTGAATATAATTGAAGCATCCAAGTGTGGATATCTTCTCAATGGCTGCAAGGTTACCTCGCAAGCCAATTCGGGTGTTCTACACACCGTAAAGAAATCATGCTTTGCCCTCACTTCTTGAAATTCTGGAAGATATCTGCCGGCCTGCCGCATTACCCATACCGGAACCTTATCAACTTCTTTTCCGAGAGCGGCACGAAGCAGACGATCATTTTTTAGTTCTGGAAAATTCTGTGAATATTCTTTATTGATCTGAAGTCGTTACAATAAAAGAGTTTATGTAATTTTTTACAAAGCAGTATTACAAAACTTACTTTTGGTATAAACTCAACGTTTTTGTCTTCCATTTTTGATACTGTTTCAAATATCAAGGAAAGATTACTCAATGAAAAGAGTACTACAATAATTAATTGCAGAATAATTGCTGTTAGAAAAGGAAACGAACTTATTACAGTTTTCGAATCACGAACATACACAACACCAGACACCGACAAACACTCGACAATGACAATGACAAGACAATGACAGACCATTCTTCATTCATACATGAAGTTTGAAGTTTTGTTGAATTGTCAAACTAACATTTTTATTTTGGCAACATTACCAATTGAAAAATGAGTATTATTGCTCTATCAACAAGGAAAAAGAAAATCGGCAAGTAAAACGTTTTTATATACAAAAATTATTTAACTAATACATACTTATCATGTGAAATTTTGTAATTTTGTGTCCTAATTTTTTTTCATCCTTTGTGCCACAGATGGCGCTCCTATCCTATTTCCTATGCTTCTAGCTGGTAAGACTGGTTAGTTCTTTGCTCTTGATAGTCGGGGTTCGATCTATCTTGTTCTTCTAATTGAATCTATGTTGTTCTTCGGTTAAAGAAATTACGGAGTGTATTAGGAAATAAAAGAAATAATTAAAGGATCGCCTAGTAGTCTCGGCAACTCTTCATTTAATTCTCGTAAATACGTACTTGCATTTTACACATAGCATAATATAGGTAGGTACTTAGGAAGAAAAGCTTTTAATCTGCAGCTTTTATGAAGGCTCATCATCGCTTTCATGATTATTCTCATTTGAGAACACAATTTTTTTGATGGTATCAATCATATCAGTATTGGCTACGATTGTTTGATTATCTACCTACCTCCTACCTATAAGTCACGGTCACATGATTGACCGAAGACATAGGTTTAGAAAGAAAATATCCAATGTTTGCGAGTCACCTCATCTACCTGCCCTCACTTTTCTATCAAAACGAAAAAAAATACAAATGAGCGGAGGCCTACGATAACGCAATGGTTTTTGTGAAGCGACACAAGGCGACCTTTTACAATATCTATAGATTTTTTGTATCAAACCTTTATACCACTTTCCTAATAAACTTTATTCGCTTAACATAAAAGGGACAGGTCCCGACTTTAAAATAACGCTTAAGATTTAAAATTCATATGTAGACATTTATCAAACCGCATTTTAACTGAGCTTCTTCTTGCAATGTAAATACTTGGATGCAATGTAAACACATGCAGTTAGTAGATAAAATTTACCGGAGTTTGTTACCAGGTAAGTACCTCTAGGTCTTTTTATGTTTTTGGGGGTTGTAATCAGAATTTACTTGAATTATTAAATCGAAGGTTCATACATAATGGGGTGTATACTTCTTTTACTTTTCGTCTTTTACATTAGAAGGTTTAACTAATTAGAGGACTAGCAGCTATGGATGTCGGCCTAACGATTTATTTAACTCTGATCCCCTTAGGTATAAGTAGAACTTCAAATTTCAATATAGAATTGATTAAAAACATTTGCATGATACTTTTTACCCTTATACTATTACAGAGTAATAGACCTGTCAGTATTCTCGTTATTAAGGGCTCTATCAATTTTTATTTCTTTCCAATTTATACAAGTTTTGGCTTTTGATATTTTTTTATTTGAATGGCACTTGTTATCTTTTTATATTTCGTGTGTCCGTGTCCTATTGATCGGGGATGCAGTGACACAGGTGCTGTGACTTGTGCATTCTTTGTGCAACGCCGTGGGATCGCGGGACTCTATTCATAATATTTATTTTAATTTGCGTGTAACGACTACCAAATCCAATGAGTTGAGAAAGAGATTTTGGTTTTCGTTTGACAGCCAGGAGATATTGCGATAAAAATTTGTAAAAACATCTCAAAGAAACATGGTCACAGATGGTTATTTCTACAATAACTTATGTAGAAATAATAAAGAGGAGTAAGTAAATAAGAACTACAAATTTGATTAGAAACTTCAAATTAAAATCTCATCCAAATCAGCATTGTCTATCATAGCCATTTTGAGGACCAAAATCTTTTATTTGTCTTAATTCCTTTCCGGCACCTGGTGTCCACGTAAGGTAGCACAAAGATAATAAGTACATAATTAGGCACTGAGCAAAAACGATTTCAAAATCAAATGATAAAATAGTGTGGGAACAAAACTTTTTCTAAAACTATAAAATAAAAAACAAAGGCCGAAGATTATACGCAATAATTTAGCCGGTCCCGTTATATCTCGAATGCTTTTTTCGATATTCAAAAAAAGTTAATGGCCAGTGTATCTGCGATTTCTTTCTGAAGAAATCCTTTTTTGCAACGGTCTATCATTTTGTCTAAGTTCATTGGGCCCAGTGGGGGCTTAGAGAAGATTGGAAACGTTATAATAAACAATGACTTAGACATTTTTAGGATCACATTTGATCTTTGATGCGGATTTTTTATAAATATCTTCGATGATTTTTATAGGAACGCTGATATTTTACACATTTTCGGTTCAGGTTTTTGTTAAAATTTTTATAATATTTCTTTGTGTCAATACTTACCTTACATTATTGTACTCAAAAGGACTGTTAACGTCATTTATGCGTGATTTTAAATAACTAAAATTATACGATATTAACAGAGTTCAAAACTACAAAAGAAGTACCTATTAAGCAGGTGTATAAATATCTTCAAATCCAAAAATGCGAGAACAAACTACAAGTAGCAAACGTACAAGTGATTTGGTTCGTGAGATAATGAAGTCTGCACCTTAGAACTACGAGTCTTAAGTGCAAACGTAGCCTTATCTCCGCAACTCACGCTAATATAAAAATATTGTTCTATTACTGTTTTCATAATGAATGCCAATCTCTTTCATCTGCTTCGTTAATTAATACGGTGTGCATTATAAAAATACTGTTAGTTTTATATACACAGTTGTTTATAATTGGAATTTAAGGGTTTAAGAAACAATAAACCGACCTACACTTCTTAAACAAGTTAATAAGACAGAAGCGCTTGTAATTAATTATCTATCGCCTTATGTAAATACTTATGTCATCGATTTATTAATGTTTTATTTCTTTTATCGAATATCAAGCAGGTAAAATAAAATGGTTTTCACTGAACTCGTCATCTACTTTTAACCAAATATCTTGGCAGTTGATGGTAAGTAGCCAGAGCAAGGAGCGTTCATTCAACAATGCCCTATGATAACAAAATGATGACGTGTTCCATTAATATTAGAGCATAACTTGCAATGCCGTCTACATAGCTAGGAAGGTGCATTCAGCGTCGGCGGCAATAGCGAACAATTGCCACTAATGCAGGCTCAATTTATTTACGAGTCAGTCGCTAGGGGCGCATGGGAACATAGACGACGTTCTACGATATAGAGTCGACATAGATATTATTTTTTAGGAATGTAGCTTAAGGTGAGGACGAAGATGATACTTCAGACAAATAAATGATTTTCTTCATCTTTGTATTTCATTTGTATCGCGGAAAATATTTAGGTCTCATTGAATCCTTTATTATGCGCTTAGAGATTCTACCTCTACAACGTCCTCCTGCCTATGTCAGTACTTGATTTGTGTACTCTGTCTAAAATAGTTTGTTATTGTATTCTGATGGATTAGATTTTGGTAAAAAACATCTGGATGATAAATAAAAAAGTATACTACCTCATTTGTGTCCATTAACATTATAACCCAAATGGTCTTGTCTGAGTCGCTTCGCCTTTATCAACATAATCGCCGATACTCGCATTGTTTGTGTCGACCTAATGTCAGGTAGTTATAGAGCCCTACCATTTGTAATTGTAATAGTAATTGCGTATTTATAAAAGCAGCACACAGCGATTAATGTTCGATCAATGGCAATGATAGATCAACGCCCTCAAACGTTCGCTGTTAACACGGAAGACCATTTTGTCTACTCCAAGGTTTTCCTTGTGTGTGCACAGGAGGAGGACATTGACTCAAGCAGTGTAAACAGTTCCTTATCTCGAGCTTCGCTGCAACGAAGCCGGCGAGTCACTCGCAGCTTTTATCTAAAACAAAATTGTAGTCAGTAGATAGACCAGCGATATTCGACGGAGAACGTACTCACCTACATCGTATTTACAACAAACGAGGTGGACAAATACATGAAGGTTTATTCATACTTGCGATGCGTGTAAAAAACATTTGAGTAAATTAACTAGCATTGCCATTCAACATGCAGGAAGTGATAAATATGCATTAAAAATAAAAGAGTCAAATAATAATGAGTAAACACAGGGTCTTGAGACTGTGGCTCAGGGAAGTGATTATGATTTCATTTTCTGGTTAGAATCTAATTCGCTTCCATTTAGATTCACCGAAAACGGTTGTGGAGAAGTTCGTTAATTCTTGCCAACGTATATTTGATACGGAAGTATGGTTTTGGACGGCGATTATAATCTTAAGCAAGGCGGGTGTGCACTAGATGCGACCGCGGTTGATAGTAGTAATTTAGAAAGCAGTTTTTTTGCCGCCACGGGCAGCTGGCCACCAATCAAAATGTGCATTGTGCAGTGAGGGTTGCTCGTTAATAGCCAACTCATGACTATCCTATGTTTTGATAAAAGAACTCGCCTTTGACCATTCACTTTTGAGGTCGGCTCGACTCGCCTCGTTGGCAGCTCGATTCATAAGATTTTTTGATTGATTGGTAGTATTTTATTTGTAGATACCAAGATAAACAAGTAGACACATAGAGCGTTGGAGGGTATTTTTCTAAGAATTTGATTTACTTCAGTATGTCATTTACAATAGAGTTACTATACCTACTTTATCTTTGACCTAGGTCAAGCTTTTCACTATTTTGTCCAAACGGATATAGACAGAAACGTAAATGCCATAAGACTTAATTTTAAATACATTTTCATACGATGGGTATAAGTAGTAAAACCCGCATATTGAATTGTTTGTGTACATTTTTATAAACCTTTACGTATATTGAACGAGTCTTCGAAAAAGCAAGGGGAGAAGTGAATACGCCAAATGCACGTGTGCGATATTAAAATCAGATCCATTCAATAGCTTCGTAACTCAATCGGGTATTTGGAAGTATGTTGTTATTTGATTACAATGCGCATTGGCACAAAATGAGGTCAGATTAGTCAGAAGCCATTGAAAAGTGATGAATTCGTAACTTTGCAAAATAATTCCTTATTCAGCCCTTTTAGTTCTCTTAATTTACC